GAGTATCGCGGGTCCCCTTACTTGTCAGATAAGAATGCAGAGATTACACGTTCAGTCGCTGAGTTTTATGCATTGATTCTTAGATTGCAGGAGTTGCATTTTAAAAGTTTTTAAATTTAGATTTTATTCTGTATATTATCTGTTTTTTTCTTCGTTTTCATACTATGTTTGTATTGTATGCTGGTCTTAAGACCGTAATAATAAAACTAACTAACTAATATTGCAAGAGTGCTAATGTTTTAAGTGTGTTTTTATTTTAAGTGAAAAAAAAACCCTTTGTGTTTGTGTCCTTTATTAAAGTTTATATCTCCGCTACCTGGCATTATATTTTATGACCCACATGGCCCAAGGGCCCAACAAGGTCTCACTTATGTCAGATCAGGCCCTCATAACAAATGAGTTCGACACCCCTCCTCTTGGTGGCCCTGAGCAAGTCACTCTTCTTTCTTAACCCCTGGTCTGCCACCTGGCCTACCTTTGCAGGGCTGTGTCAAGGTACTGTGTGGTGAGAGTGCTTTGAAGGCTAAAATCTCCATATTTTGTTGAAATCATTTGGTTTGATTTCAAAGAGGTGTCTTGGAATGGTTGTGGTGAGGGAGAAGGCATTCAAGAGCGGGCTTAAAAAAGGCTGAACCTCGATGCTTTATAAGAAAATGTCTCACTTCGTTGCACTCGCCGCTGCCAGCTCTGCCGTATCGAATCGCATTTGCAACATCTTCTTGCAGTGGAGTTGTGCCAGTGCCCTTGATGTGGCTTGTTCAGATGGGTAATCACAAAAAGGTAGCAAAGTTTGGTGTAGTGGTTAGGAGCACGGACTCTGATCTGGGAGAACCAGGTTTGATTCCCTACTCCTCCACATGCAGCTGCTAGTGTGACCTTGGGCAAGCGACAGTTCTCTCAGAGCTCTCTCAGCCCCACCTACCTCACAGGGTGTCTGTTGTGGGGAGAGGAAGGGAAGGAGATTGTAAGCCACTCTGAGACTCCGAGTGAAGGGCGGGGTATGAATCCAATCTCCTCCGCCTTCTTTCCTAGCTACCTCCTGTGTGCCTTGTTAGCATGCCTTCTTTTCCTGTCTTGTATGTGTTGCTTAGCCAGCAGGTATCTATTGAACAGGACATTCAGGTAACAGAGATTTCTCCAGACCCTCCTCTCTCTCTTTCCCTTCCTTTGTGTCTCTTTGTCTTTTCCAGTTTGCAGACCTGAGGGCAATGGACCCTGCGTCCCTTGTGTGACGTGAGCCACTTTGGGAGACCAATTGTCTTAATAGCAGGATGTGATGTGCAAGCGACATGGCGATTCGCCCCGGCCCCTGGCAGGCAAACTAATCTCCTGCCTGCCTTTTGTACGTTGCAGGTTTTCAGCAGGCAAGAGTTGGAGCTTATTGCTGAACTCTGCGTGAAACACAATGTCTTGTGCTTCAGCGACGAGGTGTACGAGTGGCTGGTCTACGACGGAAACAAGCACGTTCGGATCGGTAAGGGAAGTCTGACTCGGCAGGGTAGGAGCCCTGCGCTTCTGGCTCTACAGACTGGGCTCAGCCTGCTCATGCTTGGATTAAGAGAGGATGGCTTGAGGCAGTTTGCACCGATTAGGGGTTTTTTTTAAGTGTTTTATGGTAATATCTGGATCTAGTCACAAAAGCAACAGGCAAAGAAAATCTTAAAACCAGCAGAATCCTAAAAATCTTAAAATGAAAAGGTTAACTTTTTTTTTTTAATCAGCCCAAAACTATCCCAAGAGCACAGAGAGCAGAAGTCTCTAATTAAAATGAGATCTTAAAGTGAGCGATAAGGATATTGGGGCAGGAGGAGAGAACAAAAGCGACTCAGGCTGCATCAGTCAGTTACAGCACCTCACTAAACTTCTGGGCCCTTTTCTCTGGCTGAGATCCTTGAGAGTTCCTTCTAGTCGGAGCAGACAGTTCTACAACAGGCAGACCGGTGGGCTGACTTGGTATAAGACAGCATCGCATGTGCACACAGATGTGCCAGCTGGCATTTAAACTCCTGCTGTTGGGAGGCCCTTTGACTGGACTTTTCAAGTGACCTCCTGCATGCAAAGCAAAACATCCTGCAGGTGAGACATGGCCCCTCCCCTAGGCACACAGCTGGGAAAGCGGCTCCTCTAGAAGAATCGGGCATCAGTGAGAAGTGAGTGATCTGGTTGGGGATTCTTGGGCAAATCTCCTGTCTGTGCAGTTCAAGCCGCTAGATCTTAATATTCATTGTAACTTCCTAAGGAAATTGGTTATATTGAGATAAGAGGGTCAGAAAGGCCCATTTTTCTCTTCCCCTCCCTCTCTTTCCCCTCCCTCAAGAAAGTGATTTTTTTTTTCTTCTTCGGATTTTTTTCTTTTTGTATTTTTGTGTGTGTGTGCACCTGGAAGTCATGTCGACCTCTGGTGACTGACTGTGTGTGCACCTGGAAGTCATGGTGACCTCTGGTGACTGACCCCTACTGGGGGGCCTGGAGGATATTCAGAGAGGTGGCTGGATAAAGCCTGCCCCTCCTCCCGAGTGCTGGTATTCCTTGGAGGTCTCCCATCCGAGTTCTTGCCAGAGTTGACCCTGCTTCGCTTCCAAGATCTGACGAGATTGGGCTTGCCTGAAGAAAGTGAATTTCAGTTTCGGTTTCTCTTCTCCCTAACAGCCAGTCTACCAGGAATGTGGGAGCGTACTCTGACCATTGGGAGTGCTGGCAAAACTTTCAGTGCGACAGGTTGGAAGGTAGGCCGCCAGGGTGTGGGAGGACTGAGAATCTATCCGCTTATTCTCCAGCCAGGCTGTAGAATTCATTTAGAACAAGAGTGTAACATTCCATTGACCAGGGGTCATTTGGGGGGGGGGATGTGGGGGGAGGCCATCCCCCCCGGGTGAGGGGCGGGAGGACGGGGCCCAGTGCTCCCTCTAAGCTGTGGAGTCTTGTGAGCAAAAATTCTACTTTGCGAGCTACTGGCATTAAAGCTGTGAGCGACCAATTTGGCCACTGCATAAATTAGTTTGCTCTGGAGCCATCCCTTCCTGAGCTGAGACAAAAAACTGTGAGCTGGAGGCTAGAAAACTGTGAGCTAGCTCACACTAACTCAGCTTAGAGGGAACACTGGCGGGGCCTGGAGCTCCCTGCTGGTGCCCGCTGGAGGTCGCCGCCGGCTGTGGGGAGGACACACTTCCGGTGATGTCAGGGGGTGTGGCATATGCTAATGAGTTATGCTAATGAGTCCCCCTAGCTCTTTTTCTACGAAATGACCCCTGCCATTGACTGATTGTACTCAGAAGCTTTAATGTGAGGGAGCGAGTTTGGACTCAGACTTGTATCTCTTTCCCGTCGCAACAGGTTGGCTGGACCTTGAGGCCAGATGAGCTTTTGAAGCACTTGAGGACAGTCCATCAGAATTCAGTGTACCACTGTGCAACAGCCGCACAGGTGAGGCAATGCACCTTCTGCCACAGAATGAGCAGAAGACTGAACGGCGAAGGTTGTCTCGAGAATGCTCTAAGTCTGTTATAAGTGAACGGATTGTGTTGACTCTCCAGGATGTTTGTTTTCTTCCTGATCGCAGGGTTGCTGTCAAGACTGCAGTCTTGAGTTTAATGGGTAGTGGTTTGAGCCAGTTAATGTCAAGACTGTGTGTGGTCCCCCACATGTGTGCCACAGAAGAGTGACACCTCCGCTCCCCTAGAATACAGCTCCTCTTTGGACTAAACAGGATGAAACGGGGATGGTTGCATTTGTTGTGGATTTCCACCCTGCTCATCTACAAGAGTGTCCCAAGGATGGGACTCCCTGCCCCCCCCCCCACGGCCGGAGAAGCCCTGTGCCCCACAGAGCCGGGGCGACAGACCGTGGATCTCCAAACACTCACCAGGGCGACGGGCAGAGCAGCGGGGACTGAGGGGGGTGCAGGGCGAGCCGAGACGCCGCTCTTCTGCCCCCCCCCCACGGGGAGGGCCCGTGTTGCTGGGGCCAGGAATGACGCCGCTGCGGAAGGCAGAAGCCGGGAGAGGGACGATAGCCACGGACCGGGAGACGGCCCCCCAGTCCCCGGCTTTAGACGGGCACCCGGGCAGGCAGAAAGGAGGACGCAACAGGGAGGGAAGGAGCCAGCTGCACCGGGCCACAGGCCCGGCGTGAGAGCACACCCATGCTGCCGAGAGCGGCGACCCGGAGTAGATGGGAGGGGAGGAGAAGGAGCCGCGCCCGGAGAGCCGCGTCAACAGCTTTGTATGGGGGCGGGGCCAAGGGGGGCGGTCGGCACAGGGAGGAGCGGGGCATGCTGGGAACCAGGAGGGGAGGATATAAGGGAGGGAAAGGAGATGGCCAGGGATGACTCCTGGTTACGAGCAGAACACGAGAGAGAGGGAGCTCCAACCAGCAGGGACGGGTCGGTGGGGAAGGTGGAGTAACCTCCCTCCCCTGTCCAGGTGTCTGAGGCCTATACTCCTGGGCAAAGAAGGGAGGGGCACGACAAAGTGGCTGCGTTTGGCAGGGTGGGGAGCTCGAGCGACGAAGACAGCGAAGGGTCGTCGTCGAGCTCCTGTGACAAAGAGTGGGAGGTGGAGGAAGCAGAACTCTCCCCCTGAACTGCTTTTCTGCAGACTTCCCTGCCGGGCTCTGGTGCTGGAAGGGAGCCAGGCGGGCAGAAAAGTTACCATGGTGTGGTAAGGCAGGGGTGGGAGGTGGGTTCACTTCCCCTCAGACCCTTGGCATTAGACATACACCCAACAAGCCTCATCATCAACCCTTTATTACAGCCATAGGCCAGCGGAATAAAACCTACATCAGCAGTAAGAAATATAAAAATAACAAATATGTTTCACTAAGTCAGCTCAGCCGCACAGGATCTAGCAACTCTGAGGGTCCAGATTCAAGGTCTGCATGAAGGAAAGGAAAGGAGTTATATAGCATTCCTCCGACCTTCCTGGGATTTTGGGGAGGATAGATGTGATAAGCATATATCAGTTAAACAAACCTGGTTCTCGTCGTGTCTCGTGTTCCACTTGATGGTCATGGGCAGGGGTCATTTCCTGCAGGAGCGCACAGGAGCGGAGCTCCGGCAGTAAAGAGCCCAGGGGGCGGGCACATGCAACAAGCCCCACCCCCTGCTCCCAGCAGCCCTCAGTCAGAGCAAGAAGCAGTCAGGTAAGCTGCAGAGCCCCCCCACGACCCCCCCGGTCCAAAACAGTCCAGTGGCACCTTTAAGACCAAGTTTTATTCAGGTACAAGCTCTCCCTCCTCTGCGAGGACAGATCTGCACGTTCCCCGCTCCCAATAGCTAGCAATCCAAAACAGTCCAGTGGAGCCTGAGCGGTGGGTGTTGCCTTCTGACACACTCCCTGTGATGTCAGGGGGTGTGGCATATGCAAATAAGTTATGCTAATGAGTTATGCTAATGAGCTCCTGCACCTCTTTTTCTACGAAAAGACCCCTGGTCATGGGAATAAGCTTTAAAAGGCCTTCAGGTCTGCCGAAATCAGAGCTATCCCTATAGGCCAGCAGAATAAATCAGCCCTGCCTTGAGTGGCAGATTTTGGGGCAGGGGTGCTCTGTCTTCTTGGTGCTTGGAGGGGACCACCGTGGGAGGGCTTCTGGAGTTCTGGCCCCACTGCTGGATCCCTGATGGCACCTGGGCTTTGGGCCACTGTGTGACACAGAGTGTTGGACTGGATGTTCGTATTTCGTGATGTAGGCCGTAAATGGTCAGTCATAAAGAGTTATAAATGAACTATTAAATTAAATTAAATTTTAAATTATTTTTAAAAAGTTATAAAAATAAATACATTTTCAGCTCTGTCCATTCGCTGCTGTGCAGGTGTGCCATTTGGATTCTCTGCCGGGGGCAATGGGAGTATCTTGGGCTGTCTCTGAGCACAATCTCAGACGCCAGAGGAGCAGAGTTTAGATCAGCCAGTACTTAGGGCAAAGATCTTCACAGTTCAGCATGCAGACCCAGCTGAAAACATTCTTGTGCCAGAGACAGACAATCCAAATGGCATCCCCTGGAATTCCGAGAACTGGAAGTGGGCGGGTGCCACAACAAAATGGCTGCTACAGGAGGCGGGGCCGAAAGCATCCTTCTACAGTGGAGGCAGCTGTTTCAGAATAGTGTTCCCAGGGAAACTATATGTTAGTTATTTAAGTTGGTTGCCCTTTTCCAATACCTTTGTTGTTTGTAATGTTTAGGGTTGCCAGCTCTGGTTTGGGAAATACCTGGAGATTTGGGGTGACCCCATGCCACGAGGGGTTTTCCCTAGACAACACTGATCCTGGGAAGTGTTTTAACTGCACTGGGGAGAGAGAACTCCTCCTGACAACCCGATGACCCTCCTTGTTCTGAAGAACACTTCCCTCACAGAAAAAGATTTTCTTGGGGATAGGAAAATACCCAAAAAGCGCAATCCTAAGAACACTTCCCCGGGAGTAAGGCCCACTGACTAGACTTCAGTAGGATTCTGAGTAGACCCGCTCAGGGTGGCATTAATAGATGCAGATCATGTTGAAAATCATTAATTTCAGGTGTATTTCCTTTAAAATTTAGGAAAGTTTCCAATAACGAGTTCAAAGCATAGCGGGGTTTTTTCCTTATTTCCAAATGAAAACGATAGCTTTATAAAGGAGCAAAAGAGGTGTGAGTGATTCGGTATGTAAAAGAGGAAGAGAGTGAACGTACTCAAAAGCCGCTGACCTCCTGCCTCATGTGGAAATATGTTCTCAAGCTTGGGCGTTTGGGTGCCATGAAACACAGTGCCATTTTTAAAAACCTTAAAATCCATTCGGAATTTGGCTTGGTGTAGACAGACCGCAGAATATGATTGTTCTGAGTTTTTCACAGACTTGCCGAATCTTGCCTGAGCCGGTGTGCCCGGTCTCACACTACGCCTTCTCTGTCTGCGTTTCCTTAGGGTTGCTGCCAGCCCTGGGTTGGGAAACACCTGGAGAATTTAGCAGTGGAGCCTGCGGAGGTCAGGGTTTGGGGAGGGGAAGGATGGGACCTCCGTGGGGTATAATCAGGGCTATTTTGGGGCAGGAACGCACAGGAACGGAGTTCCGGCTGCCTCCCGAGTTGGCCACGCCCAGCAGGAACTCCTTAGCATAACAGGCCACGCCCAACAGCAGAAACTCATTCGGATTGGCTACATTCGGGGGGTGTGGCCTAACATGCAAAGGAGTTCCTGCAACAAAAAAAGACCCTGGGTTTTGACAACAAACAAGGTAAACAGAATAAGAAGCAAAAGGTGGGTGTGGCTAGATGAGCACACTTCTGGTAACATGGGGGTGCAGCCTAATATGCTAATGAGTTTCAGCTGTTAGGTGTGGCCTATTATGCTAATGAGTTCCTGCTGGGCTTTTTCTACAAAAAAAGCCCTGGGTATAATACTATAGAGTCCATCCTGCAAAGCAGCCATTGTTTTCCCCCAGAGGAAGTGATCGTGGTCATCTGGAGATCAGTTGTAATAGCGGGAGATCTCCGGGTGCCACATGGAGGGTGGCAACCCTAGTGTTTGCTTCATTACTTTATCTGATTTCTGTGCATGCATTTCCAAGTCTCTTTTTATGCCATCTGCATCTCTTGCTTTGGTTGCTTTTAAATGAATTCATGGCAATAGCAGAATTTCAGCGTTCACTCAGCCCCGGGGTGTATGGTTTTCCCACTCAGCCTGAGAAGCTCCCTTTTTACTGCCTTCCTCCTCTTTGTCCCTTCTGGATCCAGGAAGCCGTGGCCCGCGCTTTCCAAACAGAATTTGAGCGCCTGGAGAAGCCAGAAAGCTATTTTGTCCAGTTGCCGAAAGAGTTGCAGCAGAAGCGGGACCGGTTAGTCAACTGCCTGTCTGCCGTGGGGATGAAGCCCGTGGTTCCTGAAGGCACCTACTTCCTGATTGTGGACCTCACAGAATTCAGTAAGCTTGGGTCTGAGGTTTGGGTGGTGGGGCTATTGGTTGTCATGGGCTCTTTTGCAAATTCAGGGCCAATCCATTGTCAGGTGGGAGGGAGAAGTTCCGAGCATGGATCACAAACAGTACTTGAAGGTTTGTTCTGTTATAAGCCTGCCTGCTCCCCGTTAAGATCAGCTTAATTGATACACGACTGCTTTCAAACTGGAAACTTTGTGGACTTCCGGTTTTGGCGACTCACGGATCGGACGCGTCCTATTGAGCTCCGATGTGGGTGCTTTGTGTCACGGCGGACAGGGGGGGGTCTTGGAGGATTCCGAGCCCCCCTGGAGCCCTTGTAGCAGGCTCTCTGCCTTGTAGGGGGCTCTCTGTGGAGGGGTGCCCCTTCCAAGGCGACGACCAAGGAATTGAGGTTCCCCTTACCCCGAAAGGTCCTGTCACCGCAAAGTTGTCATGGCGATCAAAGATGACTGCCAGATGAAATGGGCAAGTGATCCAGCGTAAACATGTTCTTACTACACTCTAAACGCCACAAACTGTAAGTCAAGCGAATCAGATGTCTCGTCCTATTGAGCTCCGATGTGGGTGCTTTGTGTCACGGCGGACAGGGGGAGTCTTGGAGGATTCCGAGCCCCCCTGGAGCCCTTGTAGCAGGCTCTCTGCCTTGTAGGGGGCTCTCTGTGGAGGGGTGCCCCTTCCAAGGCGACGACCAAGGAATTGAGGTTCCCCTTACCCCGAAAGGTCCTGTCACCGCAAAGTTGTCATGGCGATCAAAGATGACTGCCAGATGAAATGGGCAAGTGATCCAGCGTAAACATGTTCTTACTACACTCTAAACGCCACAAACTGTAAGTCAAGCGAATCAGATGTCTAACATCAATAACAAACTGGATGATTTCCAAAAGCAATTGATGGGAATTGACAAAAGAGCAGACGATACTGACAAGGCCATTAAGAAAGTTGATGCAAAAACAGTTGATATTAAACAGAAGCTGGAGGCAGTGGAGAAAGAGCGAATTTCTGACAAAGAGCAACTGTTACAGCTTCAATGTATGTCCTATGCTTCCAGAGTATCCCGGAACAGAAAGGAGAAAACTTTTTAAAATTATTAAGCGAAGCATTAGCACCCGTGACAGAGCTTAAACAGGATTTACTACAAAATGATATGGACTTCACTTACCAAACTTATCCAGATTTATAAAGAAAAATAAGCTACCTGGTGAAATATTTGTCAAATTCTCCAAAAGATCAACCAGAGATACAGTTCTGAAAGCGACATCTGGGAAAACTCTGAAGATTGAAGGTGAAGAAGCAAGAATTTTAAAGGATATTCCATTCGAGATACGGAAGCGAAGGCGTCAATATAAGGAATTAACTTTCTTTCTACAAAACAACTCAATTGCCTTCAGCTGGATATTTCCAGAAGGATTGGTATTCAACCACCACGATAAGAAGATAAAGATTGACTCTGCCCAGAAAGCTAAAACTTTTTTGGAACAACAACAAAGACCGACGGAAGACGAAGGAAAGAAAGACGACAACACTCAAGAAGAAACTAAAAGCGATCTCAGATTAGAGGACAGTTCAAGCAGCTCTGGTAACACCTCTGAGGGTTCAGATTCGGAAAAAGGAGACACTGCTCCCAAAGTACTTCAAGTTAAACTGAAATACAAGAAAAATAAACGTGAGACATAAGTATGGAAGTTTATAAAACAAGTATGGACAATAAATACCTAAAGATTAGCTGTAATGGCTCAAGCCAATTTTGTTAAGAAAATAAGATATACAGTATTGTACTTATATTTTAATACTGATTTAATGTAAGAACACACAAACTGGAAGCTTTGCCTTCTCATCCCATTGGTGGCTATGGTTGCCAGCTCCAGGTTGGGAGATTTTGGGGGTGGAGCCTGAGGAAGGCGGGGTTGGGGAGGGGGAGGGACTTAAGTAGCATATAATGACCATTTTCTCCAGGTGAACTGATCTCTGTTGCCTGGAGGTCAGTTATAATCTCAGGAGATCTCCAGCCACCAACTGGAAGTTGGCAACCCTAGTGGCAGCAGGATCCCTGCTGGGACGCAAGCCAACTGCATCCATCAAACTGAGTCTTGTATCCTCTTATTCCATTAGTAATGGCGGTGAGGACCAATGTTCCCTCTAAGCTGTGGAGTCTTGTGAGCAAAAATTCAACTTTGTGAGCTACTGGCATTAAAGTTGTGAGCGAGTGATTTGGCTACTGCATAAATCAGTTTGCTCTGGAGCCATCCTTTCTGAGCTAAGACAAAAATGTGTGAGCCAGAGGCTAAAAAACTGTGAGCTAGCTCACACTAACTCAGAGGGAACATTGGTGAGGACGTGGAGCAGCTAGGAGCAGGGCATTCGCCTTGTGGCCCCTAGTGTTGTGGAACAGTGACCCCAAGATGCGAGTTAAACCTCTTCTGCTCATTTTAAACAAGGATTGCAACCAGTGTTCCCTCTAAGCTGAGTTAGTGTGAGCCAGCTCATAGTTTTTTAGCCTCTGACTCGCACATTTTTGTCTTAGCTCAGGAAGGAGGGCTCCAGAGCGAACTAACTTATGCAGCAGCCAAATCACAAGCTCACAACTTTGATGCCAATAGCTCATAAAGTAGAACTTTTGCTCACAAGATTCCACAGCTTAGAGGGAGCATTGGTGAGTACAGGGCTGCCAGCTCTTTTTGTAGCAGGAACTCCTTTGCATATTAGGCCACACACCCCTAATGTAGCCAATCCTCCAAGAGCTTACAGAGCTCTTCTTACAGGGGCTACTGTAAGCTCTTGGAGGATTGGCTACATTAGGGGTGTGTCGCTTAATATGCAAATGAGTACCTGCTACAAAAAGACCCCATATCTGTTATTTGTATACTTCTGACTTTAAGGTTTAATGCCAGTAGCTCACAAAGTAGAATTTTTGCTCACAGGGTTCCGTTGCTTAGAGGGAGCATTGGTTGCAACGTGTTCCTATGCCACTGGCTTTTGGTGCACATGTGGTTTATCAGCTGTGGGATGGAGGGTGAGTGAGTCAGAATGTGGTTCCTCTTTGGTCTTGTGCATGCGGCGGCTTCTGTTTTGCTGGGTTTCAGTGGCGCTTTATCCTGTGAGTTGATTTATTTGTCTTCTGTCCTGCCCTCCCCTGCAAGTGGGCTCAGGGCAGGTCACAGCATTTCAATCCCCAACATAATCACAACAAAAACATTACGGTTTAAATAGAACAAGCAAGTTAAACAAAACGGACATTAAAAGATAAAATTTAAAATCGAGTTTCAGTCCAATCAAACAGATGGCAACTAGTCTAAGCAGATTCATAGAGCCTCCTGCAGTGATGCTCCGTTGGGCTCTGTGAGTGGGGCACATTGTAACGAGCAGGGCTATTTTGGGGCAGGGACGTACAGGAACAGAGTTCCGGCTGGCTCCCAAGTCGGCCACGCCCAGCAGGAACTCATTAGCATAATAGGCCACACCCAACAGCAGGAACTCATTAGGAGTGGCTACATTAGGGGTATGTGACCTAACATGCAAAGGAGTTCCTGCTACAAAAAAAGGCCCTGGGTTTTGACCACAAACAAGGTAAACAGAATAACAAGCAAAAGGTGGGTAGGGCTGGATGACAACACTTCTGGTAACATGGGGGTGCGGCCTAATGTGCTAATGAGCTGTGCTGTCAGGGGCGTGGCCTAATATGCTAATGAGTTTCTGCTGCTGGGTGTGGCCTATTATGCTAATGAGTTCCTGCTGGACTTTTTCTGCAAAAAAAGCCCTGGTAACAAGCACTGTAAGCACAGTTTTTGAGCAAGGGGCAGGAAGCAGTTTCTCAAACGGGTTTAAAGGTCACCCAGAAGGTGGAGGAAAAGCATTCTGGCCTTTGAACAAAGTTTGGGTCCAGTGGCGCCTTAAGACCAACAAAGTTTAATTCTGGGTATAAGCTTTCGTGTTCACTGAAGTGTGCGTGCACACGAGAGCTTAAACCCAGAATAAAACTTTGCTGGTCTCAAAGGTGCCCCTGGACACAAACTTTGTTCTGTTGCTTCAGACCCACACGGCCACCCACCTGGATCTAGTCTGGCCTTTGGGAAACCTGACACAGTCCGGCACTGGGATCCTTAGCAGACCTCCTGCTTCCTTGTAAACCCATCCAGGGCTCTTTTTGTAGAAAAAGCCCAGCAGGAACTCATTAGCATAATAGGCCACACCCAACAGCAGACACTCATTAGCCTATTAGGCCACACCTCTGACAGCACAGTTCATTAGCACATTAGGCCACACCCCCATGTTACCAGAAGTGTGGTCATCCAGCCACACCCAGCTTTTGCTTCTTATTCTGTTTACCTTGTTGTCAAAACCCAGAGCTCTTTTTCTAGCAGAAACTCCTTTGCATGTTAGGCCACACACCACTAATGTAGCCAGTCCTAATGAGTTTCTGCTGTTGGGCGTGGCCTGTTATGCTAATGAGATCCTGCTGGGCGTGGCCAACTTGGGAGCCAGCCGGAACTCCGTTCCTGTGCGTTCCTGCCCAAAAATAACCCTGCCCATTACCATCCTCCTCAGAGGACCTGCTGTGTCTGCCCCCCCTTCAAAAGAGAGGCAAGTGGCTCCTTGATTAATGAAACAGCCCCCTTGTCTGCTCGTTGAGTGCTGGACCAGAGCATTTTTATTTTTTGATGATGTTGATGACTTACTGCAGATGGTGGCTTTAATGCTGTTTCAGTGCTTGTATCAGCCGTTTTATGCAGCTGTCCCCCAACTTTAATGATACGTTTATTAGATAGTTGTTTTACACACGCGCAGGGGTCATTTCGTAGAAAAAGAGGTGCAGGAGCTCATTAGCATAACTCATTTGCATATGCCACACCCCCTGACCTCACCGGAAGTGTGTCAGAAGGCAACACCCACCGCCCAGACTCCACTGAACTGTTTTGGATTGCTAGCTATTGGGCGGTATCAGGGGACATGCAGATCTGTCATCGCAGAGGAGGGAGAGCTTGTACTTGAAAGCGGGCCGGGGGGGCAGGGGGCTCTGCAACTTACCTGGCTGCTTCTTGTGGCCCGACTGAGGGCTGCTGAGAGCAGGCGGTGGGGCTTGTTGCATGTGCCCGCCCCCTGGGCTCCTTACTGCCGGAGCTCTGCTCCTGTGCGCTCCTGCAGTAAATGTCCCCTGCACACACACATACCCGCCTCTTCTGTTACCTAAAGACGAAAGAATCTGTCTTGGCCTCTGTTTTCCCTGTTTGAGCATAGGCAGCGCCTTATGCTGGTTTTGTTAGATGAAAATGCATTTTCTCTATCCTGAATTGAAGGCAGTTTTCTTATGCCGTGTAATACAGATGGGACTGGGGTACGTGACAAGCCATCTGCCCCAGGCTTCCATTCCCATCACCCCCTTCCCTGACAAAACCCACCTTTCATGGCTTCCATTAGGAAGTCTTCCCCTGGTCCTACAGAGGCGCATGAATCCTTGCATGAAGAAATTTGCATCCTTGATCCAGATTGGAACCCTGGAATCTTATTTAGATACTTACCGTATATTCTGCTTTTCTCCCCACCGGGGGCCCAAAGTGGCTTACAGCATCCTTCTCCCTTGTTCTACTTTATCCTCACAGCCACCCCCCTGTGAGGTAGGCCAGGCCGAGAGTGTGTGACTGGCCCAGGGTTGCCCAGCGAATTCTATGGTGGTCGAGTGAGGATTCAAACCTGGATCTCCCAGATCCTAGTCTGACGTTCTAATCCCAGATCATAACCAACTTTATTGTTGAGATTTTTCGTACTTTCTTGCAGAAGCGCCATTGCCTGACTTTCAGGACTCTGAGGAACCCTACGACTTTCGGTTTGTAAAGTGGATGATCAAGAACAAGGTAGGTGCCCAGGATCGGGACCAGCCCTGCCATTGATGCCGGCTGACATTAAGTGGTGGGAAATGTTCCCTTGTTTTCTAATACTGTGGGGAGGTGATGCCCTTTTGATTTCCTGGTGAGCCCCAGAATGAAGCTGGCTCCTGCTGAGCGGGACCACCGGTCTATCCAGCTTGGCAATGCCGTCTTTGTCTGTGGCTCTCCGGGGTCTTGGAATCTCGCCCCGCCCTCTTAGAGGGAGACGCCAGGGCTTGGACCTGAGGCCTCCCGCATACAAAGTGGGTGCTTTCCAGTTGAGCTACAGCGCCTCTTTTTGGCCCTGCAAAACAGCTCTCTGTGTTCAGCTCTGGGTACCCTGTTGCAAGCGAGATAGTGACGGTGGCCCAAGATCTCCTCCCACCTGTGTTTCCTGAGACTGAACCTGGGACCTTGCCCTTGTGCTGTGCCACGGAGTTGGTGAACGACAGCAAAGGGACCATAAGGCAAATTCTGTAGCCTCGAGACGAAGGGTGGGTATACGTCGCTAATGGGCCACGGTGGCTCAGAGGTTAAGACGCTGGTCTGTAGACCGGAAGGTCTGTAGCTTGTCAGTTCGAGACCTGAGAGCTCCCGTCTCTGGCCCCAGCTCCTGCCAACCTAGCAGTTTGAAAGCAAGAAATTGCAAGTAGATAAATAGGTACCGCTTCGGTGGGAAGGTAACAGCGTTCCGTGCGCCTCGGCGTTTAGTCATGCCGGCCACATGACCACGGAAACGTCTTCGGACAGCGCTGGCTCCTCGGCTTAGAAATGGAGATGAGCACCGCCCCGTGGAGTAAGATTCGACTGGCTTTCAAGCACGGGAAACCTTAATACTTAGCTAAGGGGAGATCCTTCAGGAGGGAGGTGCAGAACATTTCCAAATGTTTCAAAGGCAGGATAGGTAGGTCAGCTGACCACTACTGCTGTGCCCAGGAATGCTGTGTTTATACTACAGGGTGGCTGATCCAGGTGAAATGTTAGATTGCCCTGGTTTTCAAAATCGTTTAAAGTGTCGCAGGACTCCATTTCTGGCCTGGCTGCAACAGGCTTAACATACTACCCCTCTGGGATCTGTGACGACGACACATTGGAAGTATGATGCAGCGTATCATTTCCTTAGAGGTGTTTGAGGAATACTTGAACTGGGTAGCCCGGGCTAGCCCAATCTTATCAGATCTCTTGGACGGGAGACCACCAAGGAAGCCCAAGGCCGCTACCAATGTTCCCTCTAAGCTGTGGGGTTTTGTGAGCAAAAATTCAACTTTGTGAGCTACTGGCATTAAAGTTGTGAGCGAGCGATTTGCCTACTGCATAAATTAGTTTGCTCTGGAGCCCTCCTTCCTGAGTGAAGACAAAAAAGTGTGAGCCAGAGGCTAAAAAACTGTGAGCTAGCTCACACCAACTCAGCTTAGAGGGAACTCTGGCCGCTACGCAGAGGCCCAGCTGAGAAGATTTCAGTCGGATTCTGAGTAGATCTGCTTAGAATGGCACTGTTAGGTCTCCAAGCTCTATCAGTTGTGTTGTTATCTTGCCTCTCCTCCAAGGAGGGCAGGATTTATGATTTCCCCCCCTCACCATTTTGTCCTCGCAAAAATCCTCTCTGGTAGGTGAGGCAGAGAAAGAGAGAGATCGTCTCAAGGTCACCCAGGGAGCTTTGTGGCAGGACGGAGATATAAACTCAGGCCTCCCCTGACACTCCCAACAGCTGCACCCAACCAGCTCCGACATATTCCCCTACAGTGGAAAAACAAAGGGCACTGCTTGTCGGATTTCTGTGGCATACGAGATTGTGCAGGGCAGATGGGGGAGGGAGGGGGAAGGGGACTCTCTCCTCACATCTCACCTTCCGCCTCCACAGGGTTTAGCAGCCATCCCGGTCTCTGCCTTCTACAGCCCTCCACAGAAGAAGAACTTTGACCGTTTCATCCGTTTCTGCTTTGCGAAGGTGAAATAACCCGGGAGACAAAAGAGGAGGGCAGCGACTGTTAGAGAGGGGTCGGGTAGTGGCTGAAGTTATGCTCAGGGACCTTAAGGGCGAAGGAGGGACATCCTGCCCAGGGTGAGCCAATCCCTGTACTTCTCCTACGAGGCTGCTGTATTTCGTCTGTCAATGCCTGGGTAAAGGCAAGAGGCCAGGGGGAACAGACAAGCATCCAAAGTTGCCTTATTATTATAATACTGAGTTAGGCCATTGGTCCCGATTGCTACTCTGACTGGCAGTGGCTCTCTGGGACAGAAGGCCTTTCTCATCACCTGCACACTCCCCTCCTTTGACAGGAGACCCCAGAGGCCTTCTGCCTCCAAAGGAGATGCTCCTACGGAGGGACAGCCTCTCACCGGCACTCAAACTGACATCTGAAGCTGCTTGAGACCGAACCGGTGGGCAGCCATGTTGTAGGCTGTCTAGACCAATATGGGCTGATATTTGCAAATGTTGCCATTTTATGAGCTATATGCAGGGGTCATTTCCTGCTGGAGAGCACGCAGGAGCGGAGCTCCGGCAGTAAGGAGCCCAGGGGGTGGGCACATGCAACAAGCCCCACCCCTGCTCCCAGCAGCCCTCAGTCAGAGCAAGAAGCAACCAGTTAAGTTGCAGAGCCCCCCCTCCCTCCCGGCCCGCCTTCAGGTACAAGCTCTCCCTTTTCTGTGAGGGCAGATCTGTGCGTTCCCCTCCCCCCCCTTAGCTAGCAATCCAAAACAGTCCAGGGGCACCTTTAAGACCAAGTTTTATTCAGGTACAAGCTCTCCCTCCTCTGTGAGGGCAGATCTGCGCGTTCCCCTCCCCCCCTTAGCTAGCAATCCAAAACAGTCCAGGGGCACCGTTAAGACCAAGTTTTATTCAGGTACAAGCTCTCCCTCCTCTGTGAGGGCAGATCTGCACATTCCCCCGCCCCTAATAGCTAGCAATCCAAAACAGTCCAGTGGAGCCTGAGCGGTGGGTGTTGCCTTCCGACACACTTCTGGTGATGTCAGGGGGTGTGGCATATGCAAATAAGTTATGCTAATGAGCTCCTGCACCTCTTTTTCTATGAAATGACCCCTGGCTATATGTAAGGACAGGGAGGGACAGCAGTGTGGTATAGCCCAATCTCATCAGATCTCGGAAGCTAAGCAGGGGTTGGTACTTGGAAGGGAGACCACCAAGGAAGGCTCTGCAGAGGAAGGCAATGGCCAACCGCTGCTGCTTCTCACTTGCCTCGGAAGCCCCATGGCTGGGGTCACCATGAGAAGCTTGCGACTTGACAGCACATATGTATGTCCCTAGGGGCATGATGTTTTGTGCAACAATTTCAAGGAGAAAATGCTTGCTGATGGTACGCATTCCAGAAGCAGGGGACCGAGTATCTTGTTCAAAAATAGCGTGCCTGGAGATGTACGATCAAACATTGCACCATATAACCCCCCGCATGTTTCTCCCAGCCTGGTTCGTACCTGGTATCGAAGGAAGGCTGGAAGAAGTAACTGGGGTGGCAGCATTTGAGGAGGCTGAGGACTCAGTGCCCTTAAGCGGCACATCTCGTTTTGGTGGTTAAAGTTTAAACACAAGCACACACCGAAGTGTGTACACACTCACATGCACACTACTTGAATGGGACTATGTTCAGACACAGCTGCCGCTATGGCATCACTCCTTGGTGGGACAAACACCTTATCACGCAAACAAAAGAATCGGGGTTCAGGATTTTGGTGAGGCCGACGAACAGGCGTGGCTGTGTTACGACTCTTGCTTCCTCCTTAGGAGAACACCACTCTCGATGCCGCAGCTGCCATCTTGCAACAGTGGAGTCAGACGAAACCCAGTCAATAAGCGATTCCTCTTGAGCGGGCTTTGTAGCTGGAGCTTTGGTGCAAGCAGGGAAGGAGCCCCCGCTGCCGAGTTTCCTGCTGCCGAACTGCATCATGGGATATCAAAGGGCTGTGCCTGTCTGTATAGGCAGGGAAGTGATCATCCCCAGGGACTGGTTTGATGGGTGATTTCTTTCCTCTCTGTCCTCCCAGGAGCTGTGAAACCCTTGGGCATATTGGAGTAACCCTAAAGAAAAATGTTTTTGCTTTGATTCCAAGGTCATCACTTTTGATGGGGAGGATTTTGAGCAGGGAGCCGAATACGCTTCCTACTGGACTTCTTCCTATTACCGCAAGAGATCTGAAATAGCCTCTTTTAATGTTTGATTGGAAAAGCTTTCCTTAGACGAGCTACAAGCAGAGTGGTGTGTGGGTCCCCCTCCCCATTTGTTGCACTCTCCTGGCAGGTGCCTTGTAAACCTTCTATGTGGTTGAGTCATCTTTTTGACTCCTGGGAACTTGTGGTCTCTCTCTCTCTGCTTCTTAGTGGCACTGATCCCCTACCCCTAAAGGGTAGGACGAGCATTAGCCTTGCATACATGACACAGTTGTGTTACAGGCCAAGCAGGGAGAAATGGGATCACGTCTGCTAGTCTCACCCGCCCCAGCACAGGCATACAGTTTGCACATGTGTAGACTCTCTCTGAGGGCTCTTGAAGGGCTGCGTTGCATAGTTCGAATGCATGTATGGGGAGGAATGCGTTTGGACCAGAGGCCTGATGAGTGTGATCCTGCTCTCCCTTTGCACATTGCCTGCACAGGGTTAAGTACAAGGGCAACTCCTGTTGGTCCTGGGATCCTCCCAATTATGCTGTGCTGCAGTCTAGGAAAGCGGTCAAGGAAATTGTAGCACTGATTGCCAATAAAGGATATGTTGTATAAATAAAGTAGATTTGCATTGTGAATTCATAGGGTGTAGAAAACTGAGTCAAGACTGGCTCCCGGATTGTACAGGTGCTCAGGTGTTGTGTTTTGGCCCTGAGATGCATTCAGTCCCCTGGAGTCCGTTTCAGCCCATGCGGGTGGCGGCCAGGACCTAACACAGCTAGTGGGGATGGCCGTGTGTATTTCGGAGATTTATATCCCGCCTTTGAACCCCATCAGGGCCAGCAGAGGCAGGGAAGCTGTGCTTTTTCCAGGGATGACAACTGCCCTACACAGTTCCATGTAAACCCAAAGAAGAATCTAGTTTATGCAACATTGCTCTTGGGCTCCAATCCTATGTAAAACTAGATGTGCTTGAGCCCGTTAACTATACGAACAGGAGACCAGACGTCATCGCAAAAACCAGTGTTCTGCAGAAGCATACACAAAAGGTTGGGCAGCATGACCAAACATGCACCCAGAATTAGCCAGTTACAGCCATGAGTGTGTGTGTGTATCTGGATTATAATGGAGCCCCTAAAAATGCATGTTATCAAAATCAGTGACTGCTAAAATTGAATTCAGAATTTTTTTTTAACATCTTCCAGTGAGGTAAGGAAACAGAGCTGTACAACTGGTGTAGATTAATTTGTTTCTGGTAGATGTGTCTTGGTCAGCTAAAGAGGTGCTTCCCAGTTAACCATGGGTACTCGCTGCCACCACCTGCTCGTTTTAGGGGTTTCCCGCTGGGATGAACAGGAATCCCAGTTCCCCGTCCTGTTTGTGAGGCCTGGCCTCGGGGTCTCCTGATAACCAGCACCTGGTTACCACAGAGACCAAGTTCAGCTTTGGGGCTCCCCGGGCAAAATAGCTACCTGCTCACTGGCTGCTTTCCTCCCAGCCCGGGGGTCCCTCTTACGACAGTGTGTCCACAGCAGTTGGGGGGGGGGGGAGGTGTCTGTGTGGTACAGAGAGTAAAGGCCAACCCTTCAAAGTCAAAAAAGAATTTATCAAAAGTAAAATATTTACAAGCCTGCTTAAGCGTAGCACCAGATCAGCAAACGGAATGCAAAGAAAATTTGGTGCAAAACGCATCCTCCTTTCCCTGTTTCCTACACGTGCCCTAACTAGATGTTAAGATACAGAGCAGGCACTGGGAGCTTAAAAGGTTGCAAGTCTGTTCCCTTGTTATCCCACTTACCTGAAAGGGTGCACAACCTGAAGAAAAATGGCCACCACAGTGACCAGCAGGGCCGCGGGGCTGCCCCTTGTTGAGGGTCCAGCACCAAGAGAGAAAGAGAGAGGTCTCTTCCTTGGAGCAAGAACTTTAATTAAACCTGTGTCTCCACCCACTTTAGATCACTCCACCCCCTTTTGCCTGCTCTGCCCAGGTCACAGGTGCATCCCGGGAACCCTCCTGGAAGGCTTTCTGGGAAATCTCCAGGAATCACCTGGAAGCTTCCTAGCACCAAATCCCCTTAATTGGTTTTTGTATCTGGCTATTAGCATATGTATAGCTGTCAACTAGCCTGCAATTGGAACTGGCTTCCTGTCACTTCCAAAGAGGAGGGAAATCCCCACAAGCGGGAGACCCCAGAGGCCCAACTTGAAAACTGGCAACCCTAACCTACAGCAGCACTTTCCCCTCTGTGGAACTGATCATGAGGTACCCTTTTGAAGAGTTAAAAACCCTTTTTACCACATGCTTGGCAGAGTCAGGCAGCACAGCACTGTAAACGGTAAGGCTCAAAGGGCCGTGATGTGTCAAAAGGCCAACCCCTGACGTCTCTTGCAGAGCTCAAAGAGCAGCAGGGTCCATTCACCACAGCAGTACGCTAGGAGACGACTGCAGTCTTCCTAGCTCTGCTAGCCAGTGATCGCCCCCAACGTCACAGAATCATAGAATGCTAGAGTCGGAAGGGACCTTGCAGGTCATCCAGTCCAACCCCCTGCACTCTGCAAGAAAGATAGCCCTACGACATACCCAAAAGATGGTTGTCCAGCCTCTGTTTGAAAACGCCCAGTGAAGGAGCCTCCACCACCTTCCGAGGCAGTCTGTTCCACTGCTCAACCACTCTTACAGTTAGGAAGTTTCTCCTGATATTTAGCCGGTAACGACTCCCTTGTAATTTCCACCTATTAGACCTAGTCTTGCAATCCAGAGCAAGAGAGAATAGATCCGCTCCATCTTCTACATGACAGCCCTTCAAATATTTGAAGACTGCAATCATGTCCCCTCTAAGCCTTCTTTCCCAGGCTAAACATACCCAACTCTTTCAGCCTTTCCTCATAAGACTTGGGTTCCAGGTATCACCTGGAGTTTGGCAATCCTAGCAACTCCCCTAGCTGGAGAGAAATTCCCTAGTATCGATTCTACTGGGCAGCCCTGTTGGACTGAAGCAACAGAGGCGCCTTTCGGACCAACACAGTTTAATTCTGGGTCTAAGTCTTATTTGTTAAGCTTTAATTCTGCGTATCAGTCTTAAAGGTGCCACTGGGCTCAAACTCTGTTCCATAGAAGAGGCTGAGCTCTACAGGAAAAGACCCCAAGTGTAGTTCCATCTTTACTAGACAGATCCAGGTGGGCAGCCCTGTTGGTCTGAAGCAGCAGAACAAAGTTCGAGTCCAGCGGCACCTTGAAGACCAACAGTTTTGTTCAAGGTGTGAGCTTTCCGGCACATGCACACGTCCTCTCAAAGGTGCCCCTGGACCCAAACTCTGGCGTTCTTGCTGCCACAGGGTTTCTGTTTGTGGCGGGGGAGGAGCAGTCCTTGCATAAAGGACAGGTCAGCTGCGGTCTGTGAAGCACCCTGCCAGGCTGCAGAAGTCCCGATAATAAATGGTCTTCAAACTAAGGCAGGGGTGTCAAACATGGAGTCCAGGGGCCGGATCAGGCCCCAGGAGGGCTTCTCTCAGGCCCGCAATGGGACTGGCTGTCTTCTGCTTCTTCTTCCAGTTCTGCTGCTGCTGCTGCATCATCTAGGTTTGCAGTTTACAGATACACACCTGAACAGCATACTCAGGATTGCAACAGCAATTGCAACAGCACAGACATTTCTATGCAATAATTCAGAGCAAGAGGTGTCAGTTAAATAAAAAAATAAAGAAAATATTAAATGAAACAAAAAATAAAGAAAATTGTTAAATAAAAAAAATATTGCAAGCCGTTTTAAGCGTATTTTTTATTTTAAGTTAAAAAAATATTTGTGTTCCTGTCCTTAATGAAGATGATACCTCTGCTACCTGGCCTTACATTTTATGACACACCGCCCAACTAGGTCTCATTTATGTCAGATCCGGCCCTCATAACAAATGAGTTCGACATCCTTGAACTAAGGAGTTGGGAGGGGGGAAGCAAGCTGGCAACGGGCTTCATCGCCCCACAGCCGCGCTTCTGCTCCCAATCGCAGAACCGGCGAGACCCTCCTTCCCGCCGATTCCGGCACAAGAGCCCAGAAGGGGCGGGGCTTCGAACGGGACACGCCCACCTTTTCGCCCCGCCCTTCCACTGGGCGCTGATTGGTCCGTGCATGACGTCACACGGCGGCCGGCCGATGTCGCGTTCGACTCCGCCCGCCCCGGGCCCGCTTTGCCCAATCAGAGTCGAGCGAGGCGGAAGTTGCAGGGAGCTGGTTGTTGTGGGAATATGGCGGACAGGAGCGGAGTGAAGCGCTTGCGGGAGGTACACGTGGGTTGGGGATGGCGGCGGCGGGGAGGAGGAAGCAGCCGGCGCCGCGTGGGGAGCCTCGGTCTGGGGAAAGTGAGGGGAGAGGGCGAAGGGGGAGAGGGGAGCGGATGGAGCCCGAGCGTGAGGATGGGGCGCATCCTCTAGTGAGGCCAGTAGACTCTATGAGACTCCTCGCGAGCAGCGTACCAAAGCTGCAGCTTCTCCTGTGCTCTGTCGTGGCCGGCCTTCTGAGGTAGACTGCCCTGGGACATGGGAGCTCCACTCTTCGCTAAGGGCTGCGAGCGAGTTGTGAGATCACCGGAGGCTGGACGTGCTGTGTGAGGGGTCAGGACAGCCGATCCATGTCCCACTCGTCTGTTTTCTAACAGTGCCCAGCCAGGGACCTTCGGAGCAGCCCACAAGCAAGGTGTGAACGCGGCAGCTTTCCACACTCTTGTCTAACTGATATAGCAGTGGGCCTTTGAAGAAGGAGAGGCAGAAGTAAGATGTGTCAGGCCGTGATCTTAAGGCCTCGCCTTATAAGTGTAGGCCAGCTACGCAGAAGAAGAAGAGATTGGATTTATACCCCAGCCCTTCACTACCCAAGGGAGTCTCAGAGCAGCTTACAAACTCCTTTCCTTTCCCCTCCCCACAACAGACACCCTGTGAGGTAGGTGGGGCTGAGAGAGCTCTGACAGAAACTGCTCTTTTTCAAGAGCAGCTCTGCCAGAACTATGGCTTGCCCAAGGTCATCCAGCAGCTGCAAGTGGAGGAGTGGGGAATCAAACCCGGTTCTCCCAGATTAGAGTCCACGCACTTAGCCACTACACCAAACTGCCTCTATGCAGATTTTAACGGGTCCCGGTGTTGGGTTGTGCTCTCAGCCTTCTGAGAAAAAGCAGCCAAAAATGGAAGCATCTTGTTGAGAATAGGAAGACCAGCAGTTGATCAAATGCCTAGGAGTTTATCTGTGTGTCCCAGCTGGTGCCTTCAGCCAGGGAAAAATTACCAATGGATCCAGCCTTCTGAGTGTAGCCTTCCTTTCAGGGTGGGGGTGAGGATAAAATGTGGGGAAGAACCAGGCAGGACATCTTTGGAAGGAAGATGCAATAAAATGGTGACACAGTTGTTTAATTAATTATGTGGCCACTACCAAAGAATTGAATGTAGACACACTATCTTGGCCTAGAGACCACCACATTAACTCCAACCCTCATTCTCATCCAGGGATACGCTGAATGCCAGACATGTCATCAGTTAGATAACGGTGGCAGACAGAGTATAAATTTGACCAAGATAAATAACATCCATGTACAGATTCAGCCAGGTGGGTAGCCGTGTTGGCCTGAAGCAGCAGAACAGAGTTTGAGTCCAGTGGCACCTTTAAGACCAACAAAAGCTTAATTCTGGGTATAAGCTTTCGTGTGCATGTAAGTTTATACCCAGAATTAAACTTCATTGGTCTTAAAGGTGCCATTGGATTCAAACTTTGTTCTACCCATGTACAGAAACTTTTAATAATGGGGGATGATGTGATGTAAAGGAAGGTATCTGTTTCGTGTGTAGCAACCACTAATCTGTACAGTTCAGGATCATTTCCTCCAACTGGCAGAGGATCTTTGTCAGCTACATCTAGGGGAGATGCTTAGGATTGAACTTGGGACCTTTTGCATGCCAAGCCACTGAGTCACAGTCTGAAAGCACAGTTGCATGCAAATTTGTGAATAAGGGGATTCAAGCCCCCTTTTTGGGATCCATAGTGTGTGCCAGTTGTAGCATTTAGCAGTGGCTCATCTTTCTTGGTTGATATGTGAACTCATCCAGGTGGGTTTTCCAGGAACACCTTTATATACATTACTTGTGGCAATTTCTCTCATTGTCTTTAGCAGTGGAAAAGAGCTAGAGTCCAGTAGCACCTTTAAAGACTAACAAAATTTGTGGCAAGGGATGAGCTACATATCTGAAGACGTGAGCAGTGACTCATGAAAGCTTATCCCCTGCTACAAATTTAGTTAGTCTTTAAGGTGCTCCTGGACTCTCTATTTCTACGAACAGACAAACACGGCTACCCATCTTGATCTATTTTCATCTTCTCCAGGGTGAAGAGAGAAAGATTGACTGGCGGAAATGGAAGCAAGAAAGTAAGGATGACTTTTGAATCCCTGAATATTTTCATAACCTTGTAAATCTTTTTAAGATAGCCACGAGTTTTGTCAAAAGCAAGCCTCTTTCTTTCAAGGTGATCATTCCACCATTAGGCACATTCAAACCCAAAAATAGCCTTTTGGGCAGTGATTTGGGTTTTCCAGAACTGGCATCAGAAAATTTCCCAGCACCCTAAGGAGGGTGTGAACTGATTTAGCATGTTTATTTTTTACTTAAGTTTACTAAACAAAAATGTCAAAATTTAATGTCCCAGTAGCAAGAAATACATTTTATGTCCCAGTAGCAACAAATACATGATGTAAAATATTTGATTAAAGGGGAAGAATTCAAATGTGGGTAAAATGTCCTATTTGAGAAATCCAAACTTTATGTGAAAATTATTTTTATTGGAATAAGAATTGTAAAAATTTAAAGACAGTGTGGCACGTACTTCCCTTGAATAGCCCATACTAGCCTGAGCTTGTCACATCTCAGAAACTAAGAGGGTCAAAAATCCAAACTTTATGTGAAAATTATTTTTATTGGAATAAGAATTGTAAAAATTTAAAGACAGTGTGGCACGTACTTCCCTTGAATAGCCCATGCTAGCCTGAGCTTGTCACATCTCAGAAACTAAGCAGGGTCAGCCCTGGTCAGTGTTTGGACGGGAGACCACCAAAGAAGTCCAGGGTCGCTCTGCAGAGGCAGGCAACGGCAAACCGCCTCTGGACATCTCTTGCCTTGAAAACCCCATGAGGAGTTGGCATGACTCAGTTGTGACTTCATGCTACTTATTATTTCATAGTTCACATTTAAGGGGAAAAACACAAAGGCACAGGAAACTGTTGACATATAATTTTAACACACCCAAAATACTGTGCTTCATATTCCTTGGGGAGGGGGGGCTGTCCACCCATCAACAGAACGTAGCGCTCCTTTCTGGAGGCTGTTAGGGCTTCTCAGCTTCACTGTTGCTCTCCATAGGATCAAATACTTTACTGGTTAGTTCTGTAATAGATTGCTAACTGCAGTATCCCTTCCACCATGTGAGACAATTTTAGTTTTGGGTTTGTTTGGAACTGCACAGCCTATCAGATGAACGGATATCTTGTTTTTAAAATTTGGATTGTTCTATGCAGGGGTCATTTCGTAGAAAAAGGGGTGCAGGAGCTCATTAGCATAACTCACTAGCATAACTTATTTGCATATGCCACACCCCCTGACATTACCAGAAGTGTGTCAGAAGGCAACACCCACCGCTCAGGCTCCACTGGACTGTTTTGGATTGCTAGCTATTGGGGGAGGGGGGAGACGTGCAGATCTGTCCTCGCAGAGGAGGGAGAGCTTGTACCTGAATAAAACTTGGTTTTAAAGGTGCCGCTGGACTGTTTTGGACCGGGGGGGGGGCGGGGGGGCTCTGCAACTTACCTGGCTGCTTCTTGCTCTGACTGAGGGCTGCTTGGAGCAGGGGGTGGGGCTTGTTGCATGTTCCCGCCCCCTGGGCTCTTTACTGCCGGAGCTCCGCTCCTGTGCGCTCTTGCAGGGAATAACCCCTGGTTCTATGTATTTGTGGGGACAGAAGGCAGCAGGATACAGCCCAATCTTGGAAGCTAAGCGGGGTCAGTACTTGTTAAGGAAGGAAGGAAGGCTCTGCAGAGGAAGGCAGCAAGAAACCACCACTGCTTTCCACTTGCCTGGAAAGCCCCTTTGCTGGGGTCCCCACGTCAGCTGTGACTTCACGGCACTTTACACAAACATGTATTTGTGCATTTGTCACCCCCCCACACACAGCATTTACAGGGCAATAAAAGATATGCATACGCTCTCACACAGAATTCCAAGGGACAGTCACCTAAAACAGTCATTACTACTTTGAAACTGCCAAGCTTGCCTGCTCTTGTATTGGCAATGACACCTATTCCGTGTGATTAATTTTATTGAACAATTACTTCAGGCTTGGAAACGTTCTGCTCCACATCTCTGATCTCGAGTACATTTTTACTTATAATTTTGGAAAACACCTGCTGTTGAATGTGCTAGTGTGGAACAGAATGGGAAAAGATGCAGAAAAGGGCAACTGAAGCAATCCCGGGGTTGGTGTGTCTTCCCAGGAAGGAGAAGCTAATGCGTTTTGGGCTTCTCTGTTTAAAAATAAGATGAGGGAACATGCCAAGCTAATAAAACGATGGATGATGTGGGAAAAGTGGCTGGAGAGAAGTTCATTTTCCGAAATGTTTAGCCTGGAGCGGAGACGACTGAGAGGTGACGTGATCACCGTCTTCAAGGACTTGAAGGGCTGTCACACAGAGGATGGGACGGAGTTGTTTTCTGTTGCCCCAGAAGGTTGGACCAGAACCAACGGGTTGAAATTAAATCGGAAGAGTTTTCGGCTAAACATTAGGAAGAACTTCCTGACAGAGCAGTTCCTCGGTGGAACAGGCTTCCTCGGGAGGTGGTGGGCTCTTCCTTCTTTGGAGGTTTTCAAGCAGAGGCTAGATGGCCCTCGGACAGCAGTGCGGATTCTGTGAACTTAGGCAGATCAAGAGAAGGGAGGGTTGCCTCAGCGCATAGTTCTTGTGGCCCTTTCTTACACACCCAAAGATATGCTGATCGCCACTTTGGGGTCAGGAAGCAATTTTTCTCCAGGCCACTTTGGCCAGGGACCCTGGAGGTTTTTTGTTTGGTCATCTTCCGGGCAGGGAATGGGAGGCACTGGGGGTGTGGGAGGGAGGTATTTGTGAATTTCAGCATTGGGCAGGGGGTTGGACTAGACCCTGGAGGTCCCTTCCAATTCTATGATTCCACTAAAACTTCAGGGGCAGGGCACCCTGTGAAGTTGGTGGGCAGGAAAAAAGTACTTTGTACAGTGCAAAGTTAACTTGTGGAACTCAGTGCTACATGATTTGGGGGTGGCTGCTAGCATAGGTGGGTTCAAATACGGATTACACCGATTCATGGATGAGAGACCCATTAATGATTTGGCCCATGAGACATTTGCAGAGGGTTGGACGTGCCCTGAGAGAGCATCTGACCCTTGAAAAAACACTCAGCCTTTGATTTCCAGATCCCCATTAATTCCAGTATCCTCCACCATTTGAGAAGTGTTTAAATCCCAGCACTGACAGCTGCCCTCTTCACCTTGACTTGTTAACTGCGCCCTTTCTTTCCCTTATCCAGGAAAGGAGGAGAAGAAAAAATGGAAGGAGATGAAGCTGCTGAGAAAACTAGAAAAGAAGAGAATACAGGAGCTGATGGAAAAAAAGAAAGAAGAGGTGGAGTCCAAGGAAGATAAAGGTAGACCTTCCTGTGAATGTGGCAGAAATTGGATGGAGTTACCAGACTATTTAGGGGAGGGGCTGCGGCTCAGGGGAAGAGCCTCTGCTCTGCATGCAGAAGGTCCCAGGTTCGATCCCTGGCATTGCCAGTGAAAAAAGAATAAATGTAAAAAGAATCAGGCAATAGGTGATGGGAAAGACCTCTGCCTGAGACCCTGGAGAGCTGCTGCCAGCCAGAGTAGACAATACTGACCCTGATGGACCAGGGGTCTGATCCAGTACAAGGCTGCTGCTTCATGTGTTCATCATATCCCATGAAGAGTGGTACAGCGGAATAGTACAGCCCATCGTTAAGTCCCTCTGTGGGCTCCCTGTCCCCTTTTGGATCCAGCATAAATCCCATGAAAGCCCTCCAGGGCACTGTGCTACTTCAGCCCCTCTCCAGTAGAATCCCAGTACACCCCAGTCTGAATCCTTTGGTGCTCCAGCTTCACCTCCTTCTTGCTCCCACAAACAACTCTGCCCTTTCCTCTTCACTGCCCCAGTGCCTCAAACGGCCTCCTGGAACACCTACATCTCTTGCTTCAGTCCCAGAACTCCTGTTCCGTAACATCTTTGGCACTGCCCCTTGGTCCTCCCTCCCCTCCCCTCCCCTATGGAAGCCAAATGCACAGGTGGCTGGAATGAACGCATCGCCATAACCCTGGTTATCCCTGCCTCCTCCACCCTCCTTCCCTTCTGTCAAGTTGTAGATTGCGTGCTCCTTGGGGCAGAGACCTGCCTTGTATTAATCTGTCTTGTGCACTGATACATTTTATAAAACACCTACACAGTAGCCTGGTTTGAATGAAACGCCAACGTGAATGGTCTTCGGCGACCCGACCAAAAGGCTGCTATCTACTTAATGGGGGGTCTGGGAATAACTGTCAGAGGCCTTTGCAGCCTCAATGCAAGTTTGGTGTAGTGGTTAAGTGCGCAGACTCTAATCTGGGAGAACCGGGTTTGATTCCCCACTCCTCCACTTGCACCTGGCTGGATGACCTTGGGCAAGCCGTAGTTCTCTCAGAGCTGTTCTTAAAAAGAGCAGTTTCGGTCAAGAGTTCTCTCAGCCCCACCTACCTCACAGGGTGTCTGTTGTGGGGAGGGGAAGGGAAAGGAGTTTGTAAGCCGCTCTGAGATGCCTTTGGGTAGTGAAGGGCGGGATATAAATCCAATCTCCTCTTCTTCTTCTTCTAATGGCTCTTATCTCTTAGGGCGTCACTATACGGTCAGCGTCGCCCTTCCCGGCTCCATTCTCAACAATGCGCAGTCGCCAGAGCTGCGGACGTACCTTGCCGGCCAGATTGCCAGGGCCTGCACCATCTTCTGCGTGGACGAGGTTGTGGTGTTCGACGAGCATGGCGAAGATTCAAAGTGAGGACACACCCTGTTTGGTCATGGAGGTGGACCTTGGTCCCTCCCAGCCCCTCTATCCGTCTCCAGTTCCTTTTGATTCTTTTCTGCATGACAGACAGAATAGAAAGGGTCCATTGCACATGGCAGGCATGAAAAGAGCCTCTGTATCAGGGCCGCCCAACGTGGTGTCTGTGAGCCCCATAGTGCCTGGCAACACTATGGTGTTTTTAGAAAGTGGGTGGGGCTTTCGGCCAGCAGGGCTTCTGGTTGGCTGTTGGAGCTTTGATTGGGTGTGCAGGTTTTTGGGGTTTTTTTGGTGAATATCCTGTGTGCGCACGTGCTTGCAAGCCTGGAAGTCGTGATGACTTCTGGGGACCCCTAGTGGCTTGATAATACCCTCCTCTGCGTCTTGGCCCTGGTCTTCCTTGGAGGCCACCCTGCCAAGTACTTGCCGGAGTTGACCCTGCTTAGCTTCCAAGATCTGATGAGATCGGGCTTGCCTGGGCTATCCAGGTCAGGGCGGGTGTGCAGGTTCTTAAAAACGTTGCTTTGGCAGCAGCTGACACCGTAGCATGAGGATCTTCACTGTGTGACTGAAGATATGCTGTGGCAGCTCTTCTGTGGCTGGCTCCGTCTCCTGCAGCCAGCAGCCATTTTGTGGCTGTGCCAGGATTCCAAAGGCACCCGCGGGCTCAAAACGGTTGGGGACCTCTTCTCTGTATGGTCAGAAGCCTCCGGCTTACTGTGGCATGTTGGCCCCCAGAGCGGCTGTGTGTTGATCCGAGGACACAGTTGCCGCCCTCTCTTTCCACTGCTGGCGACCTGCTCCCTTACTTAAGAACATAAGAACATAAGAGATGCCAATGTTGGAGCAGGCCAAAGGCCCATCCAGTCCAACCCTCTGTATCACACAGTGGCCAGAAATACCAGGTGCCACCAGGAGGTCCACCAGTGGGGCCAGGACATTAGAAGCCCTCCCACTGTTGACCCCCCCCCCAAGCACCAAGAAGACAGAGCATCACTTGCCCCAGAGTCCCTATCTATACCTTGTGGCTAATAGCCACTGATGGACCTCTGCTCCATATGCTTATCTAATTCCCTCTTGAAGCCGTCCATGCTTGTAGCCGCCAACACTTCCTGTGTCAGTGAATTCCAAGTGTTAATCACTCTTTGGGTGAAGAAGTACTTCCTGTTATCCGTTCTAACCCGACCGCTCTGCAGTTTCATGGAGTGCCCATGAGTTCTTATATTGTGAGAAAGGGAGAAAAGTATCTCTTTCTCTACCTGCTCTATCCCATGCATAATCTTATAAACCTCAGTCATGTCACCCCTCAGTCGTCTTTTCTCCAAGCTAAAGAGCCCTAAACGCTTGTTCTTCTTCCGGCAGGGTGGGGATCTTTCTTGCAACACTGGGGGGGGGGATGCATAAGGTCACTGCTCTACAACTCCATTGATACTTGTGGCATAAGAAGAATCTCCATGATGTTGGGTATTGGGAGGGAGTGCACTCAGAAGACTGGGACGTGGTCTGGGACTGACTTGTTTGGTGTCGTGGTGAAGTGCGCGGACTCTAATCTGGGAGAGCCGGGTTTGATTCCCCACTCCTCCGCTTGCACCTGGCTGGATGACCTTGGGCAAGCCATAGTTCTGGCAAGAGCTGTTCTTGAAAAAGAGCAGTTTCTGTCGGAGGTCTCTCAGCCCCACCTACCCCACAGGGTGTCCGTTGTGGGGAGGGGAAGGGAGAGGAGTCTGTCAGCTGCACTGAGACACCTTTGGGTAGTGAAGGGCCATGGGGTATAAATCCAATCTCTTCTTCTTCTTGTTAGACTTGATAGCCCCTACAGTCAGGTCACAGCTTCCTGTCTGAGCCGGGCCTAGATTTCCAGCTGCAAACACAAATCATTAGGGAAGGCCTAGAACTGAATTTAACCTCTGCTACAAACAAAGGCAAGCCATTGTCTCTTCACCCCGCCCCGCCCCCCAATCTATGAAGGTAATAATGCCCTCCCTTATATGATTGTTATTTTGGTGTAATATACGTGTGGTGCTTTAACCATGCGGTATAAATGCCAACCTAGCAGTTCGAAAGCAAGAAATTGCAAGTAGATAAATAGGTACCACTTCGGTGGGAAGGGAACAGCGTTCCATGCGCCTTGGTGTTTAGTCATGCCGGCCACATGACCACAGAAAGGTCTTCGGACAGCGCTGGCTCTTCGGCTTTGAAACGGAGATGAGCACCGCAACCCTACAGTCGGATTCGACTGGCTTTCGAGCAAGGGAACCTTTACCTTTACTATAAATGAGATTAAATAGTAGCACCAAGAGCATTTCTCTGCCAAGGAAACCAGATCTGGTCCTGTGCTAGGTGAGTCTGGGGCTTGCCATTCCCTCGTGCAGCGGCCTCCACAATGGCAGGCGATCCAGGAGTAGCGGGCCAGATCAGAGATCCTGTGATCCAGGGGTTCTTCTGGTCTTCCTTTTCAGGACCACGGAAGGAGAATTTGAGGGGATCAAGAAGAGAGGGCAGGCCTGCGTGCAGCTGGCCCGGATTCTGCAGTACCTGGAGTGTCCCCAGTAAGTCCCACTGGAGATCTGTGAGAAAAACTGGGGTGGGGTGGGGGGGCTCTCCAACCACAGCGCCTGCTGACACGTTTCGTGGCACCTACCAAGAGTTTTTGGGAAATGGGTGTGGTTAGATAGGACCAATGCTCCCTCTAAGCTGTGGCATCTTGTGAGCAAAAATCCTTCCTGGTGAGCCACTGGCATTAAACTTGTGAGCGAGCAATTTGGCTACTGCATGAATTAGTTTGCTCTGGAGCCCTCCTCCCTAAGCGGAGACAGAAATGTGTGAGCTGGAGGCTAAGAAACTGTGAGCTAGCTCACACTAACTCAGCTTAGAGGGGACACTGGATAGGACTTCTGACTGGCCATTGAAGGTTTAGTTGGCTGTGCAGATTTTAAAAAATTTTTGCTTTGGTAGCAGCTTCCACCACAGTGCAAGCATCTTCACTGTGTAATTAAAGGGAAGCTGCGGCAGCCATGTTGTGGCTGGGCCCACCACGCTGTATCAAAAGTACAAAGGTGCCGCCAAAAAGGTTGGGGGACCCCTGATCTAAACAGTTCTACTATTATCGAGGGTTCCCGAGCGGTCTGATCTTTCAGGGCTTAGAGTGGCGATTCACACATCAGTATTTACATTCAAGTCTCAATGGCACAGTTCACATAGCAGTTATATACAATGCAATACATAACAGTAACTATGATCCCTACGGGTCCAGATCAACGGTCCAGTCCAGTGTTCCATTTGTTATGGTGTTCAACGAGATGCCCCCCAGAAGTTTGCAATCAGGGCATGAAAACAAGAGCCCTGGCTGCAGTTTGTTTCCGAGCAAGTGGTTTTCCCAGCTGCTCTGGCTTTGGAGGTTCCATTTAGCCATCATGGCCAATAGCCTCTATTGGATCTGTCCTCCACGAATTTGTCTCATCTCCTTTTAACACCATCTACGCTAGCAGCTGTCACTGCATCTTGTGGCAGAGAGTTCCGTATATTCCACGATACGTCCTGAGTTGTCTGCCCATCAGTCTGTCCTGAGTTGACTGCCCATCAGTTGCATTGGCGGTTTTTAGGTTTCTGTCGTGTAGAATAGGGAAGAAAAGCCCTCCAGGCTGTGCATGATTTTATAAGCCTCTGTCGTATCTCTCCCCTCCCTCCAGTGGTCTTTTCCCTTAAACTAAAAGCCCCAGATATTTTAACCTCTCCTTGCAAGGATGCTGATCCGACCCTTTCAGTGTTTCAGGTGCCCCCAGATGAACAGACTGTGGCTTTCTTGTTTTCTTTTTGAACAGGTACCTAAGGAAATCTTTTTTCCCCAAGCACCAGGATCTGCAGTTCGCAGGTAAGGCTTGAAATCTTTGCCCCTAGACCTTACCCAGTCCCTGGTATTGGCAGCAGGCGCAGTGCTGGTAGTTCAGAGTTCTCTTCCTGTTTTGCCTCATGGGCATGCAGGGCTTTCCCTAACCCTTTTCTCCTTGCTGCAGTTGTTCCCACACCAGTTGCCCTCTTGTCGGCCCTTCCCCTCCAAGTCCGAACATCCTCCTGATGCTCAGACGAGACCCACCTTCTCTGTGCTCATTTTCCCCCTCTGAGATTCAGTTACTTTACTCAGTTCTTTCATCCGCAGCCCAACTTGACCTGCTATTCTCCCTTCCTCACCCTCTCTGCTCATTTACTGATCCATGACTGTCTACCATCCTTCGTCTCCTGGCTGTGTGGAAGACCTGCTGTCTCACTGGACAGACAGATCAAGACGGGCAGCCGTGTTCCTCTGTCTGCAGCAGTAGAAAAGAGCGGGAGTCCAGGAGCACCTGAAAGACCCACAACGTTTGTGGCAGGAGATGAGCTTTCCTGAGTCACTGCCAACATCTTCAGATACGGCTAGAATGTGAGTCTGTGTCCTATATATTGGAAAGTGGTGTGATTTCAGATGCCGAATGACATTAGCAGGCAAATGACTATAGCAGACGTAAGAGTAGTGGCTGTCTTACGAAGGAATTTCAAAGGGAAGTTAGAAAGAGAGACTGCTGAATCACACGGATAATGAAGCTCTAATTAGCTTATTGCTGACAACTTTCGACTGTGTATTTACTAAGTTGACAACTTAAGTGTGGGTGGGTTTTTTCGGTTTTTAAAAATTATTTCGGGTTTTTTTTATCTTCGCAAAAAATGACTGATTTGTTATTATTTGCTTGGATTTAGTGTTGGTTACATGTTTTTATCCTGTTCTGTTGCCATGGCTTTTTTGCTAATGCAATAAAGTTGTTATATATTATTATAATGACGCTCAAGACAATGCAGCCTCCTGGACTAAGTGGACACCTGGGTTTCCTGTCTCGTTATGCTGATTTCTCCACGCCTACAATCCCTCTGCATAGCACACCTAATCCAATCACGCCTGCTATTGTCATTCACCTGCTAATGTCATTCGGCATCTGAAATCACTCCATTTCCCAATATATGGGGCAGATGGACTCACATTCTAGCTGTCACTGGACTGACTGGGTTGTCTCTAGGTACAGGCACAGCAGTGCTCCCTCTCAGCAGTGGAGTCTTGTGAGCAAACCTTCTACTTGGTGAGCTGCTGGCATTGAAGCTGTGAGCGAGGGATTTGGCCGCTGCACAAATTAGCTTGCTCTGGAGCCATCCTTCTCGAGCTAAGACAAGAATGGGTGAGCCGGAGGCTAAAAAACGGTGAGCTGGCCCACACCAACTTAGCTTAGAGGGATGACTGCGAGCACACGATATTTTGTAGCAGAAATCAGCAGTAATATTCCTTAGAGATCATCTCATGCCGAAAAGTAACCTCTGGTTCCTGGCTGTGCGATAAACCATTGCCCACCAAGTGTTTTTAAAAACCGTGTGGGAGGGGGTGTGTGCTTCTGCCCAGCAGGGCTTCTGATTGGCTGTGCAGATGAAAACAACATAGTTTTGGTGGCAGCTGCCACCAGTGTTAGTTTTCTTCTCTCTCTCTCTCACACACACACTCCTCTTTCCCAGTAAAATCATTCCCCTTGTCCCCTGCCCTTGTAGTTCCTCTGTTTATGTGGCTGGCTCTGTCTAGGGTTGCTGGGACGAGCCTGGCAACTGGTGGGGAGAGCCGAGGGTGGGGACATGGCTGCGTTACCTTCTGGTGAAACCCAGCTGTGACAAAGGGTAACTCTAGGAACTGCCAGACTATGGTCAAACCGTAGAGTTTCCAGCGATTCCTAGAGTTACCCTGCGTCACCTCTGGGTACATAGTGATGTCGCTGTTTTTTTATTTTTCTCTCGCCACCACTTGGAGCAGTGGTGGGCAGCAGGGCTTGCCAGCAGGAGGCCTAACAAGTCTGGGTCCACCTCCCACCGTGGCCATTGTGTCAGGATTCCAAAGTTGGCACAGGCTCCAAACGGTTGGGGACCCCCAAACATGAAACTTTCTTTCTTCTAGTTAATCTGCTGTGTGATCAGTTCTGTTTCTCCTGGGGTGGGGTGGGGAGGAGGAAACAGGGCTGATTCAGAGTATTTTGTGGCCCCAAAAAAGGGGCAGTGGTCCTCTCCTGGATGTCAGCTAGCTGCCATATCTGTGTAGTCTACCCTTCCCTCTTCCCACCTTGCTTGCAGCTCAGCAGCTTGCCGTAAACATGCCAGGGAGCCGTGGGAGCTAGACGCCATTATCAGTCTGGCCTTGTGCATTAGGGAGGGCTTGGGGTCCACATTGGGTGTGAATTTTTCTGCTCTCAGGGAACCCTGGGACTCTCCCGCTCATTATGTAATCTCCCGCCAGGAGTCTTCCCGCGCACGTGTGCTCGAAGTTAATTTGCTTAGCTAGTTGCCTTGCCCAGCTATATGTATTGGGATGTTCCCGCCTTCTAGTTATTCCTAACAATAATCCTGTGGACATGGTACCAGTCTTGTACACTAATAAAGCATAACGCTTCTTGAGAAACGTGTGTGAAGAGTTACCTGCTGTGGAACCTGACATTGGGATTGTGTGGCTTCCAACCAAAGGCCAAACCCAAGTCTCTGCGGCAACTGGACCTGGCGGCTGGCGGCAAGGGCCCAGGAAACGAGGCCAGCCACCTCCTAAAACCCATTGTTTTAATGCACACATTGTTTTAATCCTTATAATGCTTTATTGTGCTTTAATGTTTAAAATCGAAATTATATTTATTTCTGTGATGTTACCCGCCCTGAGCCCAGGATATAAATGCAAACAATAAATAAAATAGCTAGCAAGCCAGACTGCTGCAGCGAACGGGTGCCCTCCTGCCGTGTCATTCTAAGCAGTTGCCGGAGTAGCTTGACCAGAGAACCAGTTCTGGGAGAATACCGTTTCCACAGTGACCGCGGGATGATAGTGATGCAACGTATATCTTGTCATTTATGATTCACAGCCTCCGGAATCCATCTGCGCGGCTTCGTATTTTTGTCTCCATTTCAGGGCTCCTGAATCCCTTAGACAGTCCCCACCACGTTCGGATCGATGAGGAATCGGAGTACCGCGAAGGGGTGGTTTTGTCGCGGCCTACCAAGCCGGGCCGAGGGTCCTTTGTCAACTGCGGGATGCGCAAGGTAAGGGGCGCTGTCCCACAGGGGACCCGTTTTGTCCTGCCGAGGCCTCTTGGAGCAACACGGGGGGGGGGGGTCCGTCCTCTGGTCTTCAGCCAGAAAGGCCTGTCCAGCTTTGCTCTAAGTCTTCTAAGAGCCAGTTTGGTGTAGTGGTTAAGTGTGCGGACTCTAATCTGGGAGAACCGGGTTTGATTCCCCACTCCTCCACTTGCACCTGGCTGGATGACCTTGGGTCAGTCACAAGCTCTGGCACAGCTGTCCTTGAAAAAGAGCCGTTTCTGTCAGAGCGCTCTCAGCCCCACCCACCTCCCAGGGGTCAGGGGTGTCAAACTCACTGGAAATGTGTTTTTAAAGTTTCAAAAAACTTAAATTGTGTTTGTCTGTGTCCTTTATGAAGCTTATATCTCCGCTACCTGGCATTACCTTTTATGACACACATGGCCCAGCCCAACAACGTCTCATTTATGTCAGATCAGTTCAACACCCCTGTGAGACTTTTACATCCGTGTTAGACTTAATACATTTTAAAAGGACAAGGACTTGCACACTATTGAGCGAATGTGGCTGGACGTTTTATTTTACAGGGATCAGACAATGTAATAAGCAATAACATTTATCATAGTTGTTATGTTTGCTTCATTTTGCTGTAGTTGAATTTTTTAAAAAAATTTATTTATCACTACATTTCTACCCCGCCCTCCCCACAAGCGGGCTCAGGGCAGCTTACAATAGGGCAACAGGTGCCTTCATATAAAACAGCATAAAAACAGAATAAAATATCACATCACAAGTAAAGTGCTCAATAGTGTCAATCTATTAACTTTAACAGGATAGTACCCCAAGAATATTACATAGCGATAAGGAGGTTAACGGACTCATAGATGTTACTCGTCCCCATCTGATGGCGACAATCCACAGCGAGGTCATAGCTTGGTCTTCATAGGGCCATCCCTTGGTATACCGGTGGTGGTAATGGTAGTGACTCCTACTCGAAAGCCTGGCGGAAGAGCTCCGTCTCGCAGGCCCTGCGAAACTGCAGAAGGTCTCGCAGGGCCCTGATCTCCTCCGGGAGCTCATTCCATTTAGAAATAAAATTTTAGAAATAAAATATCTGTTTTAAAACAACTGTAGATTCTTTTGCCGACCACCAATATAACAACAGCTGCTTTTGGAAAGTTTCTTCGATTATTGCTTTCACTCTACTGATGTTTTGGATCATTTAGATTTCTTTTAAAAAATTACGATCTTTTAATTATTATTTGCCCTGCTGGCAGAGACGTTCTGTCTGCTTCCTTCCCTGAGGCAAATGGCAACCAGCGTGGGGAATCTGGGACCGGGGAATTGGCCGGGTGGAGAAGGCCTCCAGCCAAATCCGTTGGGCAGAGAAGTTAATTTAAAAAAAAGCTGTGACAATGATTACAAGCTCATTGACTGCCTGATGGGCCAGAAATGGGTTTCTCGTGCTCCAAAAGGAGATGACGTCTCAGGGTTTGACATTTGTGGTATCTCAGATGTCCCATAATTCTTTGCTGCAGGAGGTGCAGATAGACAAGCAACTGGAGGCTGGCCTTCGGGTCACCGTGCGGCTAGAGCAGCAGCAGCAAAATCCGGGTAATTATCCACAGCCTGCAGGCGGAGCCTTTGGAACTGGACATATAAAATGTGTGGACCAGAAAGACTGGAAATTTAGTTCAGGCTTGGACTAGGAGTGGGGAGACCTGGATTCCAATCTGGATTTAGTAACAAAGGTCACTGGGTGTCCTTTGACCCATCACTCTCATGGATTAGTCTGCTTCGGAGGGTTGTTGTGAGTATAAAATGGAGGAGGGGGAACCATGTGTATCACCGTCCTTAGAGGAGGGGCGGTATAGAAATGTGACTGCTCGATCACTGGATGAGGTATGGAGCCACCCTCAGAGAGCCGACAATGAAGAAAACAGCCGTGATGTAGTATTATGAAAATATATATTTAAACTGCTGTTTTGCAGTGAGTAGTATTTCTTCAATAGGTAATCAAGGTGTACGCGCACACACGATGGAATCTGCATATATATCACATGACCGCTTTATCTCCGTGTGCTGCTGCGAGAATAACATTAGTTTACACGTCAACAATACTAATCTGTGAACTTAACGCTCAACATTCTTCCCACTTCAGTGAAACAATGCTCATGTTAAGAATTTGTTTAATTGAAGTGGGAAGAATATTGAATGTTAAGTCCACGGATTAGTATTGATGACGTGTCAACTAATGTTATTCTCGCAGCACACTGAGAACTCATGTTAAGAATTTGTTTAACTAATGTTAAACTAATGTTATTCTCGCAGCCCACTGAGATAAAGTGGTCATGTGAAACGGGAATATATGCAAATTCCGTTGTGTGTGTGTGCATACATCTTGATTACTTATTGAAGAAATACTACTCACTGCAAAACAGCAGTTTAAATATATATTTTCATAATACTACATCACGGCTGTTTTCTTCATTGTCTGCATCCTTCCCATGATCTCTCTGTTGTTTCTACATTAACCCTCAGAGAGCCAGCAGATGGCAACGTCCAGCAGGGTCTTTTCAGTGGTGGCCTCAAGACTCTGCAGCTTCCTCCTTCAAGAGAGGCAATTGGCTTTCTTCCCTTTTTACTTTTAGAAGGAAAGTTAGATGATCTCCCCCACCCCACTTTTGGCAGGTGTTTGGGTTGGCTGGTTTGATCTTTAGTTTCTGGATTTTATTTAATTAATTTATTTAAAACATTTATTAGTCACTTTCTACCTTGTGGACCTCAAGGCTGCTTACGGTGTAAGCAAAACAACAGTTAACAAAACACACACAAAAGACCACAATTTGAAATCTCAGTTAGGACTGCCAACAAATAAAACTAAAATCAGTCAAATGCAGTCGTGAATAAAACAGTCTTCAGCTGCATCCTGAAGATGGAAAGCGAGGGGGCCAGGCGCACCTCTCTGGAGAGGCTGTTCCATAATCTTGGGGCTGCCACCAAGAAGGACCTTTTCTCATGTGCCCCCCAGATAAGCTTCTGTGATTGGTGAGACAGTCAGGTGGGCCACTCCCTGTGATCTTAATTCCTGGGCCGTAACAGATGGGAGAGGACGGTCCCCTCACGTAGGGCTTTAAAGGTCAAAGCCAACACCTTGAATTGGGCTCAGGAGTGGATTGGTAGCCAGTGCGATTGCTGTAGTATTGGGGCCACACGCTCCCAATAGCTGGTTGGATTGACTGGACTGTACCTTTCTGCCAGTCTTCTCTTTTGACGGCTGGATAGTCGCTCTCTTGCTTTTACTGCGATAAATTTTTTGTGAACTGAGAGTTTGACAATTGAAGTGGCTCCGACAGTACTTCCTGTACTGGAAAGCAGGATGTAAACATTGCAGTGAATAACTGTAAATGCCCTGTGAGCTCTGGTGAGTCGAGGAACAGTCTGTGCCTGTGCGCCTCCGCTTTTGGTGCTGATCCGCCCCCTTCTCTTCCAGATGGCAAAACACGGAAGGGCACGGTGGTGTCCTCGCACCAGCCCCGAACTGCCTCCGGCCTTTACTGGGGTTACAGCGTCCGCTTAGCTTCCTGCCTGAGTAAGTGCGCGTCTTTCTCTGACTTGCCTCTCTCTTCCAAATTACCATTTGTGTCGCAGTTAATGCCGGCATGAGCTAGCGAAGCGATGTCGAGGTCCCAGAACGGTGGAGAGGTGACCTCTGGCACCCCCCACCCCCGGCCTTTCTTTGCTTCGCCCAGGAGGGGGCGAAATAACCCGGATGTTTTTGAGGGGAAGCTGAAATGGTTGCGGCTGGTCTCTGACTGCTCAGTGAGGTCGGAAGCCTTCCGCCATCCGAAGGAGCCTCCTTCCTTCTGCTTCAGCGGCTGTGGTGCCGCTACCTCAGGGGGTGCAAGTCGATCAAAATGTCCCTTGATGGCTTCTGTCCTCTTCTCCAGGTGCTGTCTTCGCGGAGTGCCCTTTCAAAGAAGGCTACGACCTCTCCATCGGGACCTCTGAGCGGGGGGCCTCTGTGGACCAGGCCGTTGTCCCTCCTTTCAGGTAACCAGGCGGGGGCTGGTTGGTTTTCGGCTGTATCATCTGTCTCCAAGCAGGGCTTGGAAGCGGTATTCCCTCTAAGCTGAGTCAGTGTGAGCTAGCTCACAATTTTTTAGACTCCAGCCCACACATGGTTTGTCTTTGCTCAGGAAGGAGGGCTCCAGAGCAAACGAATTGATGCAGCGGCCAAATCGCCGGCTCACAGCTTTAATGCCCGTAGCTCACAAAGTAGAATTTTTGCTCACAAGACCCCACAGCTTAGAGGGAGCATTGATTGGAAGCCTCAGTCTGCCCAGTGGGGGGCCTCTTTGTTTGTTGCGCCCAGGGCTGGCTGCAGGTTTTAACGAGGCACAAACTGTCCATGTGCCCTTCTGTCCCAGCGCCGCCTCAGACACATTTCCCTCCAACTTGTGGCTCTGTCCTCTCCGCCTGAACACAGATCTGCATCAGGGAATGGAATTTCCCTCACTTTTTTTTAAGCCCCTTCAGTGCCAGCGGAGCTTAGAGCAAGAAAGCATGCCTGTCATTTCACGGGGGCCTGGAGGGGGCAGCAGAGGGTGGTTCCAGTGCTTGCTCCTTCCTCCACTGCCTCCAATCAAGGGCCCAGGGGCGTCTCCAGTGGGAGGTGGGTGGGTCCCCTGTTGTGCTTTGTGTTGACAAACCCCCCCCCCCTTTCTTCTCTCTCTCAGCCAGGCTCTGGTAGTTTTTGGCGGCTTGAACGGCCTGGAAGCTGGTGTGGACGCCGACCCGAACTTGGAGGTCTCCGATCCGAGCACCGTGTTTGACCTTTATCTGAACACCTGCCCAGGCCAAGGGAGCCGCACCATCCGGACCGAGGTGGGGGTGCTCTCCATCTTCCCTCTCGTGGGCCAGGAGCGGGGAGGGAGCGTGGAAGAATTTCATCTCTGTCTCGGGAAGGACTCACAATAAACCTCAAGATTGTGGTGTTTTTTAGAGTCGGCCATTTGGATAATCTAACGAACGGCTTATTTGGCTGTAAAGTGGCAGCCCCCTTAAGGCCGACCCCGTAGGGTTTTCAAGCCAAGAGACGTTCAGGGGCGGTTTGCCCTTGCCTCCGCGGAACTCTTTGGAGGTCTCCCACCCAAATACTGAGCAGGGCCGACCCTGCTTAGCTTCCAAGATCTGACACGATGGGGCTGCCCTGGGCTACCCAGCTCTGAGCAACAAATGCTTAAGCATTTATTAATAGACTAGAAATAATGCCCGTTGTGGAAATAAATACAACGGGATCTAGAAAGAGGCTCTGGGAGAGTGCTCTGGCTTTGGGCAAACAGTGTCAGTTTCCTGTGGCGACCTCAGCAGGGTTTAATGACAGAGTCCACTGTTTTCTCCAGAGGGACTGATCTCTGCTACCTGAAGAGCATTTGTATGTTTGAGTTATCTGTAGCCCTCACCTGGAGAGTGGTAACCATTGTTACCCATTCTCCTCTCCCCTATGAGGTATGTTATGCAACTGAAAACCCCAACTGCCTTGCGGGGGGGGGGAGTTTGAGGTGTGGAATGGACTGAAGTCCAATCAGCTTCCATATGCAAAAGACCAGGTTGTCGCAGCAGTTGTGGTGTGGGCGGGACCCGGGCTTTGCCTTCTGATTGGTGGCGATATATGCTGAGGAGCAGTGCCATCAGCCATACACTAAGGGAGTGCATTTTAGAATTAGAACCTTGGCACCCAACAAACGCTTAAGCATTTATTAATAGATGCTTTGCAGGCATGTATTGCTTTGGGGGAGTTCAAAGCCCCTGGTCGATGCTCTGTGCTTTTCAACTATTGTTTGCTTCAGTGATCTTTACGATAACTACATAAAACATGACGGTATTACTCGTCCCATATTGCAGGTGAAGGGAACAGAGGCACTGATAAGAGCTGTCCTTGAAAAAGAGCAGTTTCTGTCAGAGCTCTCTCAGTAGGGTATGATAAGAGCTGTCCTTGAAAAAGAAGCAGTTTCTGTCAGAGCTCTCTCAGTAGGGTTGCCAAGTCCTTACCCTCTGTATACTGGAGGAGTCCAGCACCGGTCCGGGAGTGTGTGTGCACCCGGAAGGGTGACCACGTCGGGCACGCCGGGGGGACCCCAAAATCATCCGAGGGAAAACAATAGAGTTTTCCCTCGGATGACCGCGGCCCCACCCCACAACGCGCCCGCGTCACTTCCAGGTGATGTGCTGACGCCGGGCACGTCGCATGCTTTGGGGGTGGGGTTTCCCTGGGGCCCAATCCACCACTGTCGGGTAACGGGCTTCTCAGGCAGGGGTTTCCCCACCCCCCGGGGGGACTTCTCTCAGCCCCACCCACCTTACAGGGTGTCTGTTGTGGGGAGGGGAAGGAGTTTGTAAGCCGCTCTGAGACACCTTTGGGTAGTAAAGGTGGGGTATAAATCCAATCTCTTCTTCTTTGAGAGTTTAGTGTAGTGGTTAAGTGCGCGGACTCTAAACTGAGAGAACTGGGTTTGATTCCCCACTCCTCCGCTTGCACCTAGCTGGATGACCTTGGGCAAGCCATAGTTCTGATAAGAGCTGTCCTTGAAAAAGAGCAGTTTCTGTCAGAGCTCTCTCAGCCCCACCGACCTCACAGGGTGTCTGTTGTGGGGAGGGGAAGGGAAAGGAGTTTATAAGCCGCTCTGAGACTCCTTCGGGTAGTGAAGGGCGGGGTATAAATCCAATTTCTTCTTCTTCTTCTTCTTCCCTTGGAGGAGTGCATATTTGGCTGCTTTTTCCATGACAGGGGGACCGTCTAGCTCAGATTTCTCCCTGGCAAGAAGATCCCCCTCCCCCTCTAAGCAGCCCCCCAGATCTTTGGCAGCTGTTTGCTCTGCCTTAGAGGCCAAACTCCTGTGGGTCTTAGCCAAGGACGAGCATTTTGCATGTCTTAAGGCTGCTGTTTTTGGGTTTCCTTTTAGGAAGCAATACTCATCTCTCTGACAGCGCTGAGACCCCGGATTGATGAAGCAACAAAGAAAAACGGGAGCAACTGAATGAAGGACCCTGACCGGAAAACGAGACAAGTCTTAACTCTTCCCGTTCCCCGTTTTTGTCCTTCGTGGCTAAGCTAAAACAGAAAGCAGTGGGATACTTAACTTCCCTGAACTGCTCGATCATCATTCCCACCACCTGGGAAGGATCAGGAACCAGGCCAAAATGTACTTGTATGGTGGAAACAACTCCTTTTGGGGCATCCAGATGCAAATGATAGAGGAATTAGGTGAGCTGCGAGATCAGTTGAGGCAGCATCGTCTTGGAATGAGAAAATCCCAGCTTGAACTCTGTACATGATGGTGAAGCTGCAATAAGATGCATTTTGGAAGAAAGAGAAAACCCCAGCTCTGGCACACTTTTACATCTGTGAGTCAGGAACGAAGTTAATATTTTGCATAGTCTGCCGAGCAGACTTTCAAGGAACATTTGAATTTTAAAAACTGAATGTCTTTGGTATAAAATATGATACGGCAGAAATATCTTAATAAAATGGGTAACTTTTTAAAAATGCACGTCGTTTTGAGATTAACTTTTTCCTGTGTTGCAAGAAATTAATGATATCCTGCTGTTCCCTTTAATAAGGAAAATACACGTACATCTTCCCAGTTGTTTTCAAATTGGGGTTTGATCCTGGTGGTCTGTCATGGCAGCAAAGCAAAAGAGAGGACTGGGTTGGGGCAAGAGACTTCTGCACTTAGCCGTCTTATGCACATGAATGACGCCACCGGAAAGCAACAGGCGTCGACTGAAGTAGCTGCCCAGGGTCACGCTGTTCATCTGGCACAGGACATTTGACTGGGGGTGGCTGCACTCGGACAGAGGCTCAGAATGACCCAGGACGTCCTCAGGCTTCTGTGTTCAGCTTCCATATTCCTCCTTCGTGCTGAGCAGAGAAAGTGAAGACCAGTGTTCCCTCAAAGCTGAGTGTGAGCTGGCTCACAGTTGTTTAGCCTCCAGCTCACACATTTTTGTCCTCGCTCAGGAAGGATGGCTCCAGAGCAAACTAATTTACGCAGTGGCCAAATCGCTCGCTCATAACTTTAATGCCAGCCGCTCACCAAGTAGAATGTTTGCTCACGAGACCCCGCAGCTTAGAGGGAGCATTGGTCAAGAGGACTCCGCCACATATGCATTAAAAACGTGAGTTTGTAAATTAAGCCAAAAGAAAAATCCTGAAAGAAATGGCTTGATGGGGACTAGATAGGCTTGAGAATGGATGGAATAGTGACCCCCCCCCCCCGAGAATGGACAAAAGGGGAGGAGAAGAAATCAGCTGTCTCCAGTCCCTGAAAGGAGAGGTTTTGAGGGGTAGGTGGAATTTCCAAATGGGGGCCCCATCAGTGTTCCCTCTAAGCTGAGTTAGTGTGAGCCAGCTCACATTTTTTTAGCCTCTGGCTCACAGATTTTTGTCTTAGGGAGGATGGCTCCAGAGCAAACTAATTTACACAGTAGCCCAATCACTCGCTCACAACTTTAGTGCCAGTAGCACACCAAGTAGAATTTTTGCTCACAAGACCCCACAGCTTAGAAGGAGCATTGGACTGAAGACTGACCAGCTTCTGTTGTTTCACCTGGTCTGGATATCGAGGCTCACTGTGATTTGGTCTCTTGAGTTCAACTGGAGAATTCTAAACTACAGTCAAACCCTGCTCTGTAGGCACGAACCACAACTCTGCTGCTTCACTGGATGCCACGACAAATTGCAGTTTGTCCTGAACTAGGAATCCCTTGCTAGCGCCACAGCACTGGAAGCCGGGGATTTCTGGCTTGTTCTCATATGGATGCGGCCGTGGATCCGTATGAATGGGCTTGCAATGTCCCCCCCCCCCCAAAATTTCCAAGTTAGGGGGCGGAAAGGCAATCCCTCCCACAGAGTACTTGCTCACTGCTTGGCATGTGGGGAGGGAGCTCCGCTACGTGCCTGAAGTCATACTACCATTTCAGTGGGGCGTGAAAGGCAACACACTCGCTGCTTTGAAAATGCTCTAAAAAGTAGGATTTTGTTGTGTGCCATCTGAACGGAGGACTGGTTTTTGGTCTTTTCACCTTATTTTATTCTCAGAAACCGCGTTTGCAGGGACTGGTAGGAAAATCAGCTTGGGTTCCATTCCATGAGATGAGCTGTGGCAAATATGAAGAGGAAGCTAGCGCATGTTTGCAAAGGTAACACAACCACAAGGGCCGAAGGAATATGTAAGCCTTTGTAAGTCTTCCAAGTCCCCCACCCACTCACTGCTTTACCTCCACCAAGTTTATTTTCAGTTTATTTGGAGACCAGCTGCAATAAAAACGGGGAGGGGGTGTTTGCAGAGCAGAGGCAGTGAGAGGGAGAAAGGGTTAAACCCCCCCTCGTCCACTGACTAGCCTTCTGCAAAGAAAATAAAAATAAAAACCACCTCCACATTGGCTTTGTAAGAAAGAAACACGGAGAGTTCAGAACCGCACACGTCTCTCGCTGTCGGCCACTAAAAACTAGGTTGCTTTCAGCCCCCTTCCAGTGGATGCCCTTAAAACAGCAATCGGCTGTTAAGGGCACTGGGTCTGGCCTTCTCAGGCCTGCCTCCCCCATAGCTGTAGAGCTCCAGGCATCTCCCTGATGTCGGAGCCCAACAGCTAGACTCTGCTATCTTGAGGCCAAAAGGAAGAGCATATCACTGCCCTAACAGGTCCTGAGCAGATCTAGAACCAGCAGTCAGGCTGTATCACAAGGCCTCCCTAAAGGGCAGCTGGACAGAAAATTAGTTCCCCTGCAGAACCAGCTTGAGGAAGCACTACTGTAAACTTCTATGGCTCCGCTGCAATGACAGGCAGTCCCCCGTCCCGTCAGCCGTTATGGCTTTCAGGTTGCTCGTCCTCTTCAGGATGTTGGGGACAAAGAGCAGCCCCGACGCCCGCTCGATGCTCTCGATGGGCACCAGGAAGCGCTCCAGCGGGAGCTTCTCGTCCACGGGGCAGTTGGGCATGACGTAGGAGCGCAGCTCAATCTCTCCGCCGGGCTTCTCCAGGATCAGCACTTTGAAGAAGTGAGTGGGGACGGCCACGTGGCTTTTGCCGATCACCTGGTACTTCACGTACATCTTCCCGTCTGCCTCCATCCTGCATGGAAAGAGGAGGTGAGAAGCAACGCACACGGAATCCACAGTGCAGTCGGAATATGGTTCTAGCTCAGCTAGGGGGAAGGTGTCTGTGACGTCCTCCTTATTGGGGAGGACTGGTTTCACTTTAAAAGTGTTCTTTATTTTGTTTTACTGGGTATATACGGCTGCCACCAGGAAATTTTAAGGATTTCCAAACCTTTATGCTTTTACTTTTACTCTTACTGGTTAGGTAGACCGAGTTCAAGGCCCACGAGGAACTATGTGGTCCTGAGGAAGTATTTCTTTCAGAGCTGGTATACTTGAATGAAAGAGGATTTATTAAAATAAAGCATAAATAAGAGGGCAGTACAATGTAACTAGTGATGTGTAAATACTGAACAATTTCTTTGGTATTCCACACAATCTTCTCTCTCACTGACAGGGATCTTTCAGGTAACTTTGTAACATTTGTTTATCTCAATGCCATATACGTTTACTGTTTCACTCTGGCCTGTCACTTATACTTTTCTTTAACTCTTGTTCACTTAAACTTTACTGTTTCCTAGACACTCAACTTTCAGCTTATAACTGCTTCAACACAGAACTGCTTGTCTCCCCTTTCACACACAGAACCAACTGAACTCCTCAACTGTCAAACCTGTAACTGTCAAACCTGACTGACATACATACTCATAAACTCATTTTCACTTCCAAAACCCCTCCCCCTCTCTGTCAACCACCAATCATACCACGGTTGCTTCTCTCAACCACTCTAGTCTACTTACCACCTCCATGCAACCAAACTTTTAAAGACACACACACACACACACCAAAAACAAGGAATCGTTACAGCGTCCCATCCCAAAGCACCTCCGTAAACAGCCAAGGTGTAATTCTAGGGCTGAACTGATGGCAGGTTTTAATCAAGATCAGTGCAACTCGAAGGGAAGGGCCAGCGTCAAGGGTCAGCTCGATCGGGCACCTGCTGAGCCCCGAATGACAGGAGTGCTCCGTCCATGAATGTCAGCTGCATAATGTGTCTTTTGTCGGACCAGCAAAAAGCATCCATTCAAGAAGGCTGTCCCCCTTTTTGGACGACTTCATGCAAGGAGAAGCGGGCTTATAATTCTGGAGACGCCCGTTGGGGCTTGACTTTTAAAAGACTGATGCAAAATTATCTGGTAGTTAACAATCTGTGTGTGTTGAATGTTATTGCTTATTTGAATGTGATGAGTGTTTGTGCCTGACTAGGATGAAATGATGATACACTATGCACTTTACTAAATGATGACCATAAATGGAACACATTAGTTTGCTAGGAGGTTTTTGCAGTGTATACTTATTTGTTACTACAGCCCCGAAGCCTAGCAGAGGGGCCCCCCGCCCCAGCAGGGGACGCTGGGTCAATCTCTCAATGACTCCCAATGCACCCGAAGGCAGCAAAATGCAAAGGGATCGCACTTTCCCAGTGGGCCCTCGCTTCACCCAAAGCCCACTGCGACATCACAACAGCTCTCAGCGGTTCCTTTTAGACCCACAAGCATTGATGGGTTAAAAGGACTATGGGAAAGTTCCATTTCCGGCTCTGCAGTGTAGCTGGCAAGGTGGTTGCAATTGAGAATTGTGAGGAGAAGACAGGAGATGGGGGTGGGGGGGACCAGTGGAGACTCTAGGCCCCGACTTCTAGTAAAAACCTGTGGTCCAGGCCTGTTCAAAATCCACGGGTGTGCATTATGGCCTCCTCACTTGTCACACAGTAATCAGCGACTGTGCAAGTTCCTTAGAATCCTTCTGGATTTTCAGTACAAAAAGAAGAGAAGTATGGACAGAAGGGGGGAGGGGTAATAGAGAAAAAGAGGTTCCAAGGCTTGATACGTAGCCCCACTGCCGATCGTAACAGTCTTGAAACGTTTCCACGACACTAACACACGAGGTACCGTGCAGACAAAATCAATTAGCTGGTGTTCACCGTAGAGCGGATTTCAGACTACAACAAATTCTCTCCCTTTGAAAATGTAAAAAGCCAGCAGCAAAGTGGAATCTGTCTCCACATTAATCAGAACAAAGGTCCCTTTTTAATGCACAGAGGGAAAATGAAGAAAAACATGGCACCCTTCTTAAGTCTGATTATTTTTTCAGCCATTATAGCCATACACAACAATCGTACTATAAAGTTAGAAACACGGTACCAGATAACACATCTCTGGCGTAAATAAAATTACGCTTTGCTCTCAGAGTTATGAGGCAGAGTCACAGTCACTTATCCTATACAAGTTCTCAAGTTCACCTCTGTAAATATTCTCCGCAGCCTCCAAGCAGCTTTGAGAGCCAGCACGGGGCACAGGTTCTAGAGTTTGGGACTCGAATCCGGAACACCCAGGTGTGAATCCCCACTCTGCAATGGAAGGTCACTGGGTGACCTTGGGCCAGTCACACGCTCAGCCCAACCTACCTCTCAGGGTTGTTGTGACCTTGGGCCAGGGTTGTTGTGACCTTGGGTGACCTTGGGCCAGTCACACGCTCAGCCCAACCTACCTCTCAGGGTTGTTGTGAGGAGAGGAGAATGATGTAAGTTGCTTAGTTCCCCACTGAGAATGGTGGGATAAATTTTTCAAAATTGTCAGTTAAATGATTAGCTCCAGGGTTTTAGCTTGGCCATTAGCATGACATATAGCTCACCAGGTTCAAAAGAAAGATTTCCCTCCAATGTTGTTTTATAAATTAGAGGGAAGGTCATTAAAAAAAAAAAAAGACACTTTTACCTGGGTAGAAAAAGTGGTCCAGTGCAGACGTAGACATTCTTGTTATATTTGGTTAAACTCCTGCAGTATTTCTCCAGGTTATTCCAGGCATTCTGATTCAGATGAGGATTCTAGAAGCAAAATAAACCCCCAAACTGTTGAGCTGAGCATCAAAAGTAGAAGAAGTGCAAGATAACTTACATAAGGAGAAGATTCAGGCCCAGTCTACAGGTGTGGAAGGGCAAGAGGACAGAATGGGCTATACTGCTGCAAGTGGGGGAAACCATACTTCTTAATGCTCCCTTATATTAAATCAAAAAAGGCCTTTGCAAATGGAAAACTAGCTCATGTGGGGGTGGGCTATTTTAAAACTTCTTTCCCTGATGCTCCTGCTGTGACTGTGGAGACTGTGGAGGAGCAGATGTTAGGATGGCTCTCTCCTCCCCAGAATTACTAGGATCTCTCTCCTCTTCCCAGATGTCTTAACTTCTAAGTATGCTTGCAAAGTTACCAAGAGGTTAATTGCATCAAGTTTAGGATGAGTTTCAAAATATTTAAAGACATTAACGCTTTGAGCAGAGAAAACTTTCCAACTTCCCTTAAGACAACGCTCTGCCACTGAAGATAGAGTTGAATTAAATTTCTATTGCACAGACAGGTGGCCAGGGGCGTTGCGCTTTAAGAATTCCATCCGTCTGAGTTGTGGGCTGGACAATTATCCAAAATGGTTTTTTTTTCCCCGTGCTTAATTTTTTGGTGAGGGGGAAATCCCATCGGTAAAGATTGTGTTATAAAATTAATAACAAAGGAGTATCATTGGCATTCGATAGACAAGGTTGGTGGTTTCAAAGTTGCAATTACGGGTAGATTGTCCCTACCCTTGGTGTGTATATTTTATTGCTCTGTAAACCGAGGGTGAGGGAGGAAACCACCGATACATATAATTATCCAAATGAGCAGACAATGAGTATCAGGCACAATTCTTTGGGTGTGCTATAATTAGTGCCTCAACAGTTTTTCGTGCCTTTGGCGGGGTTTCCTCTTAAATTTAAATAACGGAAAGGCTGCCTATGTTCCCTGACCCCGGCAGGCCAGACATGCCTGATCTCATCAGATCTGGGACGCTCAGCAGGGTCAGCCCGAGGTGGCCAAGCAGAGGCCTGCGCTCCCATGCTACACAAAGGCTGAGACCCAGAATTGAACTTTGTTGGTCTTAAAGGCGCCCCTGGACTGGGTCCAATCTAGCGTCCCACTGCAACAGCCCAGACCAATCAGGTTTCACCGCTTCATTGCGCGGTCCGTTATGAATGGGCCTGGGCAGCAGTGTCTCTGAGCATATGCAGAGCACCACTGTCTGCGAACAGTCCGGCCTCCATCGCATAGGGGCCTTCCACTCCCGCGAGGGTCCGCTGTCCCCTAAGCTGAGCGACACCGGGGGTCTGTTGGTGGGGCAGAGAGGCAATGCTCCCTCCAAGCTGCGGAGTCTTGTGAGCAAAATTCTACTTGGTGAGCTGCAGGCACTAAAGTGGTGAGCGAGCGATTTGGCTGCTGCATCAATCGGTTTGCTCTGGAGCAATGTTCCCTCTGAGCTGAGTTAGTGTGAGCTAGCTCACGGTTTTTGAGCCTCTGGCTCACACATTTTTTTTTTTAATTTATATTTTATTTTAAAGATGATTCCAACAAAATGCAAACAACATAAGATATCCAATCTAGTAACAAGTATAAGGAACGATACATAGCAAAGTATTTTCAAAGTTATGGAGTACACATGCACATAGCAAGCATATAGAACCAATATCAGTAACAGCTTTATACAGTTTACTAACTCCAGATTTCTGCTGCTATAAGTATTATAAGGTGGCTCACACATTTTTGTCTTCGCTCAGGAAGGGAGGGCTCCAGAGCTAACCAAGTTATGCAACAGCCAAGTCACCACTTTAATGCCAGCAGCTCACAAAGTAGAAGTTTTGCTCACAAGACTCTATAGCTTAGAGGGAACATTGCTCTGGAGCCCTCCTTCCTGAGCGAAGGAGCCGGAGGCTTAAAAGCCTGTGAGCCAAGCTCACACCGACTCAGCTCAGAGGGAACACCGCCGGGGGGGGCCCCCTCACCTGGGGGGCGACGTTGCTGAGGTAGAAGGTGTCCCCCATGGCCTTCTGGCTCCACCGGTGGTTGGCGGCGGCGGCCAGGTGGCCCCGGTCGAAGCCGCTGCCGCGGTAGTCGGCGTTGGTGGCGCGGTGGTACTCGTGCACCGAGTCGTCCTCGCGGAAGGCGCAGGCGGCCCGCTCGGGGGCGCCGCTCAGGCCGGCCGCGCTCAGCCGCTCCACCACCCAGAGGGCGCTCCGCCCGCGCGGGTCGTAGCACAGCACGTACGACTCCCGGCTCCGCAGCTGCGACAGCCCCGGCAGGCCGTACTTGGCCAGCTCCCCGCCCGCCGGCAGGGAAGCCGCCGCCGCCCCCGGCAGCACCGGGAGCCGGGCCAGCAGCCCCCCCGCCGCCGCCCCCTCCTCCGGGCCCGGCTGCAGCCGCCTCCCGGTCAGCGCCGCTCCCAGGCCCAGGCCCAGGCCCAGGGAAGTCGCCGGGGCCAGCCAGCGGCTGCTCCAGAAGCGCTGCATGGCCGCGGCCGCCGGCGAAGAGACGGAGCCGGAATGGAACGCGGCGCCCCCGAACGTTCGACGCCCGGCCGAAAGGATACAAGCTGGCCGCGTCCGCCGGCGCCACCTCCTGGGCGCCTTAAAGGGGCGATGGCTCCCCGCGGGGGGCGGGGGGAGAGAATGCCTCGGGTGGGTCCCAGGGCCGGATCTAGACTTGCCGAGCCCCTAAGCTATACAAAACCCAGAGGCCCCCTACTGTTTTAAATTACATCAGCCGGTCTCTGAAACATTTAAAATATATACGCCCTTTTTAATATTTGAAATCATTTTTTTATATTGTGTTTTTAGTCGAGGCCCCAGCAGATCGCGAGGCCCTAAACTGTAGCTTATTCTGGGGGGGAACTGTGAAAGAAATAAATATGTCAAAATTGGGAGGGAAAAAAAAAACAACCTGTAGCTTATTTAGTTTATGCGTAAATCCGGCACTGGTGGGTCCCCTGCTGGTCGAGAAACGCTGGGAGCCCGGACGCGAGCTCGTGTGTGCTCTCAGGCCGCACGCAAGACCCGTTGAAAGGCAGACAGTGCAGGGAAGGTGCTCTGGCAAGACTCCTCCGCCTACCCTGGCCGCGCCACACGTTCTTGGCTAGTCTTTAAAGTGCTGCCGGGCTCTTGGCTCTTTTCTGCTGCCCCAGACACAGAAAGGCAAACAGGGCTGCCCATCTTGATCTGTTTGGTGTCCTGGTGAAGCGCGCGGACTCTAATCTGGGAGAACCGGGTTTGATTCCCCACTCCTCCACTTGCACCTGCTGGTGTGACCTTGGGTCAGTCACAAGCTCTGGCACAGCTGTCCTTGGAAAAGAGCAGTTTGTGTCAGAGCTCTCTCAGCCCCACCCACCTCACAGGGTGTCTGTTGTGGGGAGGGGAAGGGAAAGGAGTTTGTAAGCCGCTCTGAGACTCCCTTGGGCACTGTAGTGGTTAAGAGTGTAGAGCAAGTATTTGGAAGACACGCCCCCCCCACGTGTGCCACGGAAGCCTAACCTACCTCACAGGGTTGTTGTGAGGATAAAACGGAGGCGAAGAGAATAAGCCGCTTTGGTGCCCACGGGGGAGAAAAGCAGCGTATAATTAGGGCTCTTTCCAGGCCTCTCTCCGCTAAACACGCCTCGTTCTTTCCGTCCTCATTTCCAGCCAGGGGTGTAGAAGCTTGGTTGTCTCCCTGTGAGCGCGTTCCATCTTTCGGAGCAGATCATAGTTCTGTTCGCCAGGTCCGGCCACGACGTCAGACCAGAGACTGAAGTCTCCTTCGTACTGGGCGGGGGGGGGGGGGGGGGGGGGGGGACGATGGTGAAAGATGCTCCAGCGCCACCGCTCCCTGCCAAGCACTTTTCTCTCACCTGCCCCTTAAATTAGAAGGTGCCCCCAAGGGCAGAAGGGACCCATGAGGTCAGGGGCCTTAAAAGGCCAATGCTCTCCAGGAGAACTCTGCGGTCCATTGCTCCTTCCCCAGGCGGTGCGTGGCTGGGTAGGGATATGTATACATTTATGTCAGGAAGTGTGTTGTTATACAATAGGGATATTGACCCTGGTCCCAATTAATGAACAGAAAACAAAAATGTTAGCAAAAAGTCAAAAACAGAAGACCTAGTAGAACTGATGGGGAAAACAGGTTTTAAGGTGGAAAAGAAAGTAAAATATTTGGGTATCCCGGTGACAAATATGGGCAAGTGTGGTCTCCATGATTCCCTATGGACAAGCATAGTCTTCATTATTCCCTAGAGGCAAGTGTGCTCTCTTTTATTTCCTATGGGCAATCATGGTTTCCATTATTCTCGAAGGGCAAGCGTGGTCTCCATTATTCCCTATGGGCAAGCGTAGTCTCCATTATTCTCTATGGGCAAGCATGCTCTCCACTGTTCTCTATGGGCAAGCGTGATCCCCTTTATTCCCTATGGGGAAACGTAGTGTCCATTATTCCCTGTGGGCAAGCGTAGTGTCCATTATTCCCTACAGGCAAGTGTGCTCTCCATTGTTCTTTAGGGGCAAGCATGGTTTCCATTATTCTCTATGGGCAAGCGTGTTCTCCAGTATTCCCTACGGGCAAGTGTGCTCTCCATTGTTCTCTAGGGCCAAGCGTAGTCTCCATTATTCCCTATGGGCAAGCATGGTTTCCATTATTCCCTATCGGCAATCGTGTTCTCCATTATTCCATAAGGGCAAGTGTGCTCTCCATTTTTCTCAAGGGGAAGCATAGTCTCCATTATTCCTTATGGGCAAGTATGTTCTCCATTATTCCTTATGGGCAAGCGTGCTCTCTGTTATTCCCTATGGGCATAGTCTCCATTATTCCTTATGGGCAAGCATGTTCTCCATTATTCCTTATGGGCAAGCGTGCTCTCTGTTATTCCCTATGGGTGTGTTCTCCATTATTCTCTATGGGCAAACGTGTTCTCCATTATTCCCGATGGGCAAGTGTAATCTCCATTATTCCCTATGGATGAGCGTGGACTCCATTATCCCCTGTGGCCAAGCATGGACAGCATTATTCCTCATGGGCTAGCATTGTCTTTATTATTCCTTATGGGCAGGGATGCTCTCCATTATTTCCTATGGGCAAGCATGTTGTCTCTTAATCCGTATGGCAAGCATGGGCTTTGTTTTCCCTATGGGCAAGTGTGGTCTGTATTATTCTCTTTGGGCAAGGTTGGACCCCAATATCCTCTGTGGGAAAGTGTGATCTCCTTTATTTCCTATGGACACATGTGGTCTCCCTTACTCCCTCTGGACAAGCGTGGTTTCCCTTATTCCCCACATCCACATGTGGTCTCCCTTATTCATTGTGGGAATCGTGGACTCCATTATACCCTATGGTCAGGGGTGCTCTGCTCTCCATTATTCCCTATGGGCAATCATGGATTCTCTGTTGGCAATTATGTACTGCACTGTCCCCTCTGGGCAAGCCTACTCTCCTTTACTCCCTATGGGTGATCATGGATTCTCTGTTGGCAATTATGTCCCTATGAGCAATCATGGATTCTGTATTGGCAATTATGTACTCCATTATCCGCTATGGGCAAGCGTTCTCTCCATTATTGGGCAATCATAGATTCTCTATTGACATTATGGATTCTCTATTGGCAGTTATGTACTCCATTATCCCCTATGGGCAACTGTACTCTCCATTATTCCCTATGGGCAATTATGCATTCTCTATTGGCACTCACTGTCCCCTCATGTATTCCCTATGGGCAATCACCTGTCCTTAGTTTTAGTACGTCCCGGTGCGGTGGGCATTTGAAAATGCAGCAGCGCAGCCCGATCCTGCGTGTCCCGCCAGGAGAGAGCACCCCGGCTGCTGAAGAAGAAGAAGAGGAGGAGGAGGAAGAGGAGGAGGGGATAAAAGTGTACCAGGAATACTAAAATATACGTATTTATTTATGCCACCATTATATAGAGAGCAGGTGAAACACAGAGACATCAAGAAGCATCATCCAGTTTACAAGAAATGGCACTGTTCTCTCTGCTCCTCCAGAGGCCAGAACTTGGTCAAATAGGCTAAAGTTATAGAAGGGTGGATTTTAAATGAGCGTAAAAGAGAAATTTCCGAATGATAAAGATGGTGGATCAACTGGTAGACCAGTTACTCGCTGGGGGGGGGGGGCTATGGCCTCCAAGCAGAAGCCGGCGTCCTCCCCCAGGAATAATTAAGAGACGCCAATGTTGGATCAGGCCAAAGGCCCATCCAGTCCAACACTCTGTGTCACACAGTGGCCAGAAATACCAGTGCCATCAGGAGGTCCAGCAGTGGGGCCAGGACATTAGAAGCCCTCCCACTGTTGACCCCCCCCCCAAGGACCAAGAAGACAGAGCATCACTTGCCCCAGAGCCCCTAGCTATACCTTGTGGCTAATAGCCACTGATGGACCTCTGCTCCATATGCTTATCTAATTCCCTTTTGAAGCTGTCCATGCTTGTAGCCGCCACCACTTCCTGTGGCAGTGAATTCCATGTGTTAATCACTCTTTGGGTGAAGAAGTACTTCCTTTTATCCGTTCTAACCCGACCGCTCTGCAGTTTCATGGAGTGCCCACGAGTTCTTGTATTGTGAGAAAGGGAGAAAAGTACCTCTTTCTCTACCTGCTCTTTCCCATGCATAATCTTATAAACCTCGATCAGTGATCACTCCTGAACCAATATGGTACAGTGGTTAAGTGTGTCAGATGAGTGTCTAGGAGACCAAAGTTTGAATCCCCACTCATGCCATGGAAGCCTGCTGGGTGACCTTGGGCTAGTCACACTGTTGTCAGCCTTACCTACCCCACAGGGTTGTTGTAAGGATAAAATAGGAGAATGATGTACACCACTTTGGGTCCCCACCGGGGAGAAAGGTGGGGGTATCAATTAAACAGATAAAACTCCAATCTGCTGCTTGGGTTGGTCCAAATAAAAAGAGGCATCACGTTGCTTGCAAGTGGAGATCCCCCCCCCCCCCCGCCAACATGTCTGTAATTTCTGCCTGAATAGTTGTAAGCTGTGTTCCCTCTAAGCTGAGTTAGTGTGAGCTAGCTCACAGTTTTTTAGCCTCCTGCTCACACATTTTTGTCTTAGCTCAGGAAGGAGGGCTCCAGAGCAAACTTATTTACGCAGCAGCCAAATGGCTCACTCACAACTTTAATGCTAGTAGCTCACAAAGTAGAATTTTTGCTCACAAGACTCCACAGCTTAGAGGGAGCGTTGGTTGTAAGTGCCCGAGAATCTCCTAGGGCAGCTCAGGGGGATTTCTCCTCTGCCGCAGACCGGGAGACACAGCTGAAGCTCCAAAACCCCAAGTCCAGTGCAGGTTCTGCAGAAGTAAGCCCCACCCCCAGCAGTAGGATCTGTACACTAAAGCAAGCAGGGTGGAAGGTGCACACGTTTAATGAGGGCTTTCCTAGCTTATGCGCCTTGTTCTATTTATGCAGCTGGTCCCGTTCTTAGCAGCCACAACTGGCAGAGCTATAATCGGCCCTTCTGAGAAGAGGATC